TCCACTGTCGGACCACTAGATGGCGTTTGTTTGTTGATAAGTCAGTATTGATTTGTCGTGACAAATTGTATAGGTATTGAGAGTGTTTTGTTATGGTAGAAAGCGAGTTACTTTTGATTTTGGTCGTGTTAACCTCGTCGGTAATTTAAATGTCAAAGTAAAATGTTGAGTAGGGATAATTTCTGGAAGCTTCGGGAACGGAAGATATATAAGTCCGGCTTTCAGCCACGGGAGACACTCTGCTATCTCGTGTCTTCCAATCTTAAATAGTGTTTTGATTGTTGTGTGATTTGATTTTCGTAATATATTATCTGTTCAAAAGTACCCACGAGAGTGGTGAGTATGGTCTTAATTCTTTTTTTACCTATTTGTTTCTGGAACCTGATTAATTATATGAGTGCTAATCCATTCGTAGGGTCCCAGATTTCGGGGTCAAGACGGTCAGTCTCAGACGGCGTGCTTGCTCGTTTGTGGCCTTCTGGTTCAGATTCAAGTTTCTCGGTACCCTCTGGCAAGCTGGTGATTGCGCGGCTCACGACGCAAGCGGACAGCCGTACCCAAGGGTTACGTACTTACTTATAAACTTATAAATACCAATTGTGAACTTTTCTCAATATCTAATATAAATAGCCGACTCGGGCGGAAGGGGAAGTAACCTCCTGGAGTGAAGACGAGGAGGCTCCGAGCACCATCAGCTCAGCTCTGACGCGCTCCGCTGCGGTTTTTCTTATACCCTCTGATTTTTTTTTATTGTAACTTTAATTTTGTTTTTTTTTAAATATACATGTATGTATGACTGAGGTGTAAGTTGTTTTTCTCTAAGGGGTCCCATAGGTATCCCACACGCACACACTTTTGTTTAATAAAAGGCGCCCTGAGGTAATCTTGTGAATCTCTCCACTGGGTCAGCCGGTGAGTAGTCCGCCTGATAAGAAAAGCGGCTACAAATTTGACTTTGTTTATTTCACTATTCATTTGTATTTATTTCTCCTCGCTAAAATACAAAAAATCACTTTCAAAATTATACAAGCTTTCTATGTGAAAGAAACTGGTGTTTTAGATGGTCGAAAAGATGCCTGTAGAAGGTACAAGTCACCAGGTTCCTATCCCATGGATAGCAGAAAAATTATCGGAATATACGTAGTATTATTAATGTTAACATACACATAATGGTTCATTATTTTAGGGGAAAATGAAACAAAAATAAGAAATGATAAGACGTTAAAAAATAGAAGTGTGTGTATGAGCGCGCGTGTGTGTGTGTGTGTGTGTGTGCATACAGAGTGTAAGGGAAATCGTAACGAATACTGAAATAGTGTATTCAGACCATGATTCTGAGTCAAAAATCTTTGCAATTTTCTAATTAGAAGGTAGGGTTAAATTTACTTTTAGAAGGGTTCGTTAGGCCTTTTCGATTTTCAAAGAGTAGTTTTGCAGGCACCTCGAGAAAAGGCGATGCAGTAATTGAGTTGAGATTGAAAAAGGAAACTATACTGCTTTTATTACACTTTTATCAGCTAAGTGCCTTCGAGCTTAAACAATTACAATCAGTTTACGGACTTTGGCTGTAACAAGGTTATGTGGTGATGAAAAATTAACTTTTGTCTATCATTATTCGAAATATATGGTTACCAAAGCATTTGTCAGTACAGGATATTGGCAGTTTATATCACTGGTATCAAAGCACGTGTATGAAATTATGCGCTTTAAGGGATGAGGGTTATCGTTATTCAAGATCGTAAATGTCATGTAATTTGTTTTTGCTTCGTAAAGTGTTGGTAAGGTCCTGGTTAACCAAGTAGGGAGTTATTCCCCTCTAATCATTTGAAAATACATCATCCCAAGAGCCGCCACTAAAAAGCAGAGCCGTGTCATCTGCAAAGATTTTGGAAAGAAAAGGGTTTCGAATTTCCATCTGACAGAGATCAGTAATATAGAAAAAGGAAGAGTGTTGGGCCCAGTATACTTCCTTGATTAACACCAAACGTCACTGGAACTGCCACTGCTTATATAGGCAGCGAAGTCAGTCAGATAGTCCTGTAAAAGTTTCAACTGGAAATCCCGGATTCCAAGATATTCTAGCTTCTTCACTGGAATTGACTATTACTACTATTCTATTGAACTGATGATCGTCAAATTTTGCATTTACTTTATCAGGGGCACAGAAAAAGAGAGGGTAGGACGATAAGTACCTACTCTATTGTTTAGAAAAAATGTTTGCCCGAAAGATAATTGAATTGAACAAATTAGACCGGTTGGCCAATAGACTTGCCCTCTTGGGCCGTCACACCACCGGGGTTTGCGGTGGGCGGTGTGTTAAAATCGACCCGAAAAACCACTTTGTCTACCATACTGCGCCTTAAATAGAATGGATACGGGAACAGTTTTTAATAGGACACTTGGACCCCGTAAAAGCGCGGACCGGCTTGCCAAAATCTATGTTAACGCGAGTTAAGGCCCCGGTAAAGCTGGTTTTTAGTAAAATATTTTTTTAATAAGCTTACATCTCTAGATAGTAGTCTACTTTTACTATTGTTAGTGATGGAAATTCGTAGTGAAATACTAATTGCAAAGTTATATTAATTATTTGTCTGTTAATCCACGTCGGTGTTCGTCATAAACGTCGTTTCTAATTTGTTAATTAACTAAAAAAAGTCTTACTGTAAAACAAACCGGTACTTTTTCAAAGAAGCAATTACAATTAATAAAGTTAACAATCTGAATTGAGCATATAAGTAATTAAAAAATTACCTCTACGGATGCAGTCGGACAAAGAACGGACAATGCGTTTTGTGTAGACAAACGTTGAATAGATAGAAATATAGAATATAGGTAAACAGTTGGTTATTGTAAAAAGTAAACTAAATAAATTTCTTTACAATAACATATATATTTTTTTCTTTTCATTCTTCTCATCACCTTTGATAGAAGTGAAACTTTTGACGCCTACCTCAGTTCGCACATACCTACTAAACTTTTTTTCTCCCATACACTGTTCCTCTAAATAAGTTATTATGTAGTGCGTTTAGTTCCTAAGTACGTATTCCTAATATTCCTATGCTATATTCCTTTATTAATTAGAACTTACAGTTTGAAAAAGCGCCATCTTGTGTTGATCTAACAAAATTAGCCGAGTTCCATATCTAAAAAAATAGTAATAACTTTAACTCATACTAAAACTTGTATGTAGATATGTTCCAATTTTTTCTGTACACATTAGAGTCATTATCATTTCATCCATAGAACGTCAACACAACCTCTAGCTACAACCACCACTGATTTTTGATGTTTATTAAGTCTCCTGTCCATCTTAAAAGTCGTCCTTCGCTCCGTTTTCCAATCCACAGTATTGATTAAAGAACTTTCAGTTCCTTCAATCATCCGTTCTTCTTGCTACATGCTCTGCCCCTTGCCATTGCAATTTCCTGATCATTTCAGATTTATCGGTAACCTTCGTTTGTCTACGTATGCATATCTGATTCGATAATTTCGATACAACAAGGGTTTTCATTAAAATTCATGCAACTAGTTGGCGCCACTATGGCTAAAGGTCCCCAACCTGTCTAAGATTCAAAACAGTTTCTGCTATAATAATATCTAAAATACTCATTCTTATGATTATCATTTTTTAGAGTTGGTTGGTGTCTTGGTTAGGATTTTAGGAATAATATCTATTTATTTGAATGTTTCTCAAAGCAACTTAGGATCGGTCTATACAGGTCTATAGTATATTTGGAGAGGCAAGTGATTTTGAAAGCGGACAACACTGAATAGACTACCGTGCCGGCTGTCAAATTTGTGAAACAACTGTCACAATTGTGGCGAATCTGAAAATTCGTTAAAATCAGAGAAGTAGCAAATAAATTCGGTGTAGTTTATTTTAAAACATAATTATACACCATTTTATGCTCGCGAGTGCGTGTTGTTACAAATTTTGTTTCAAATCTGGATGAAGATACTATGATTGCCGCGTCCGAGCCTCTGGTGTGTTTTTGTTTATGAAACGTTCTGTAACATTTTCTTCATGAATGGAATGAAATAAGATTATGCTTGATTTAAACTTTTTGAGTTATTAGAGTATTTATTTTCTAATAAGTTATTTGAAATGAAGTTGAGGTTGAGTCCGTCTAGTTATTCCAACACTTCTTTTGACCGCCTTTTGATACATCTGATTTTTAACAATTATCAGCCTTACAGAATCAGAGCATATAATAATGATCAGCTATATTTTATTTTCTGTATTAGATTTTCATTTATTTACAGTTGATTTTCATTTAAATATTTCTATATTTTGTAATAATAACACAACAGCAACTATTTCATGGTCTTCAAAACAAATTGCAAAAACTGTAATCTTTGAATTGAATTTTAAAATTCATTTTGTTATTTCAATAATTAATTTTTAGATTTTTTTCATATTATAAGTAGATTAACCTCTGTTATGCAGCTACACTGTACAGTGCTTACCGGTGTAAGCACTTTACATGTGCCACTACATGTAAAGTGCTTACACATGTCAGAGGACTTGCAAGAGAGACTCCCAAAGCATAATTTTAAAACATATTTATACATATCTAAATTTTAAAGAGTAATTTTATAGTTCCTAAGTTGATGTAAAGTTGTTTTTGTTTACAAATTTTATGTTGTTTCTTTTTGATGGTCTGAGTTTTACAATTGTAATAGTATTTAGTTTATTTTTGTTAAAATTAGCATAGATATAATCGATTTGGTGTATACTGTGATGCTTATATTTTATTAATAAAGAATTGAATGTGAAGAGTTAAAAAACCCTATTGTTGTAATGATTTAAAACTTTTTATGTATAAATATAGTTTGGATGATAATACTGTACTGACCCATTAGATGGATATAATAGAACACTATTCTACTTTTAAATTTGTGTACTCTTAAAAATCAATTTTTGCATCATAACTTATGTTAAATATGTGTTGTTATTTTTAAGTAGTTTGTAGTGTAACTTAAAGCACTCAATTTTGCAGGAGTTTGTGCCACATGGCAGAACAGTGCTAGCAAGACACCCGGGACAGATATATAGTAAACATAACTCATCAGCATCAGAGAATTCTCTGTTGTACAAGCTCACTAACTTTGGTATTAAGGATGAGAGTCTGTTGGAGACAAAGGAAGAGGAGCAGGAGTGGTGGTGCATCAGAGAAGTGTATTACAGGAGTGAGAATGGTTAGTTCATTTTTATATGATTACTTACATAATAATTATAAGACTTATACTTATTAAAATTAGTTTAGTAATATTGTTCTAGTTGCGTTTGTGAGCTACTGCAGTTCTCTACTTCCTAATGTATTTTCTTTGTTTGTGCTATATCAACATGTCTGTTGGTCTAGTGTTTAGTGGCCCTGCCTGCTAAGCTGGAGGTAGTGAATTCAATTCTCACCCATGACAAATATTGTGTGATGAGCATGGTCATTTTTTCCGTATCTAGGTTTAATTTATCTATAATATGTATGTATTTAAAAGTATTTAAGTATGTTTATCACTAGTCTGGTTACCATAGCACAGGCTCTGCCTAGTTTGGGATCAGACAGCCGTGTGTGAAATGTGTTAGGTAAAATTTTTTGTTTTTTTTAAAACCATCAAATGCATAGTAACTTCAGCCACCCCAATAAAACTGTAAGTAAGTGAAGGTGAGGACATTCCCATGGTCTTCTGTTTCATGTTTGATAAGAATTTATGTTTAGATCACATCAATAGCCCACTTAATAGTCCACTGCTGGACATCGGCCTCTCCTTAGAAAGGAGATTTCTCTACATAACAGATCACATTATAATTTCTGCCCCTAATCCTACATTTATCAACATCCTCCTTCCAGATATTGAAGAAGAACAATCACAAAATAGAGACTCTAAATATGAATACAACTCTGAATCATTCCGAGCTCCGAGTCGGCTCAAAACTGACTTCAATATCTCCATTAAATCTGAGCTTTTAAATACTATAAAGAAAATGGACTCAGAAGCTACAAGCTCCGCAGGACCCTCAAGGGGTAGTTCAGCAAATAGCTCTAGTAATATGTCCAAGAAGTTTAATTTAAATACTGGAAATAAACAAGGCTCAAAGAAGAAACCATTGAATCCAAAGACTGATTGCAGTTATGAAGAAGAGTTGTATGTGAAAGGCTGTACTGCTATATGGTCTAAAGGTAAGTCAAGTAGTTGTAAGTACAGTATATTGCAATGTCCGTAGTTGAATATTGTAAACATTTCATATGTTTGGCCTTGTTTACTATCTATATTAGATGAACTATAAGAACAATGACTTTGAACACATTATTTGTTGTCAACTAGTCTTTCAGACTTTTGACAACAACTTTTGGTATGAGGTCTCCTTTTTTTTTCAGTGTGGCATTCCCCTCGGATACCCCCCACCAGTGGGTGATTATGTCGGACTCGAACCAACCAAAAACTGCACGCCGTCTCCAGGTACCAGTAGCCGGGGAACCAGGTATACCCTATAAAGAAAAGCCCTGGTACCCCGACGAATGGTATGAGGTCTCCTAGGCTTGAGACATGTAACCCTCTCAACCCATATGATCCATATAATAACCATGACCATTATTGCTCAAGATATAACATCTCCGACCCCTTGCACTCTCTTAAAGTGCAGTCCAATGAGGTCAGAATTTAAAAAAAGATATTATAAGATTATGTATTTCACAGGTCTCATATCAACACCAGCTACAAAACTCTCAGACCCAGAGCACAGAGAAACCATAGCTTGTTACACAATAGAAAATCCCATTAAACATGCCGTCTTCTGCAATTTCTATGTTGACATTAAAAATACTATGCTGATAGATGCTTTAAACTCACAGATAGGTGATGTGAAGAAAAATATAAAGATTGAAGACACAATAGAACACATAGAAACCAAAATTATGCCCGCAATATTACTAATTAACAGCAAGTATATGAAAGTTTATGCGAATGACGGACGAGAATACCTTACAAGCATTCCATTTCAAATCAAAAAGGTCTGGCCCATGAAATATGGGGTGCTATTAGAGAAGGAAGCTTCACCATTGTCTCAAAACTCCATGATGCCTAACTCATTTTCAAAACTGAACGAATCTAACAATAGCTCTTTTTCCAAATCAAAATCTAACTTTCCATTCAACATGAGTAGCAAACTCCGCATTGATTCAATATCTGGTTTCGACCAAGATGTGACTTTACCAACTTGTTTTTCTGTTACCCATCCTTTGGACGAAGTAACCCCCATATTAATGAAATCCCCATCCCAAGGTCTTCAATACTACAATGATGGCGATTTACAAATAATATTTGTCAGTTCAAACCCCAGTATTATTCTGTTATATGATTGGAAATTAGGCACACACTCACTTTGGAGGATCAGAAAATCTGTCCGCGATGAATGCCTCAGTATGTGCCCAAACATGAATTCCTCTACCACAGTATTCAGCCAGTCTTGTGACTACATTGGTAGTCCAATGCAAAGTCAGAGAAATCTGACTAGTTGGGCGACTGGTTTAGGCAGTCCCTATCAGTCAAAGAGAATTCCTGGTACACCGACTATGTCCAGATCAAGAGTCAACAGTCCTATGGCAAATATATTCCATCAGCAGGGATTGTCTCCACATGGATCGATCGGTCAAGCGTCCAACATGTCCATGATGCCAAATACTGGGTCTCAGAACCCGCCATCATTGCCTTTGTATCCAGATATTTGTTTGGACCACATTTGGACTGACACTCAGATAATCAGACGTGATCCGATTGAATCTCCAGGTGATATGAAGGCTTTTCTTCATACAGATTTAGTTGGGCATGATTACTTGTGTTTTTTGGTTAAGATTGGGGGTGTTTCTAAGTTGCAAATAGTCAGGCTACAAAGGTCTCATTCACACGGACAGACTTTTAAGACGAATTTAATGGTGGGAGCTGTGTCAAATGTGTTGGCGAAAGATGCTGTTGTTTTGGAGCATCTCAACATGATGGCGTTGATTGATGAAGCTGGGAATATCATATTACAGTCTGGGAACAGTTTTGTTGGGAAGGTAAGTCATCAATGTTCTTATTATTATTTTTTAAGCTAAGAATATAACATGAGGATTGTAAAACAATCTAGGATATTAGGTGGATATTTAGACATACAGGTAATTTTTAATAACTATACTTCTCTCTCTCTTTCAGTTCTTAATTAAATGTTTTTTATATATTAATCTTATTACAAAAAAATCCCTGGAAAAGTTCTAATTCCTGTGAGGGTGTGGCACTTTTATTTTGTAAGAAGCAAGTAATTCCAATAAAAAATTTCTTTTACTCTGTTCCAGGTCCACGTTGGAGGTGTATTAGCCCGTCTGATAGACTCGCCATACACAAAACGCCCCACATTTCAATCCCCTTTCCCACGTCGAAGTAGCTTACTGCCAAGCAGAGTGAACGATGCCACATTTGATGATTCTGCTCTACATCTCCTGTCACCCGTTCCCCATTCTTCTGCTTCTAGACTGGAGCAAAAAGAAAGCTTAGGTAAATTAGCATATAATGTAATTAAAATTGCCTTAATTGCCCTAAACCAATTGTGTTTTTTTTTCTTGCTTGTGTGTCGACAGGTCTGTGTGGCCTATGCGACGCGGCTGGGAACCGCCTCACTCTCCAGTTTGAGGCGGGCTCTATGTACAGGATCTCGCTACCGCCCTTGACTTGCTCCACGCTCGTCACTCGCTGCTACACTGCCCTAAGAGCGATTTTACCTAAAGATGTTACTATGCAGGTATAATTTATTGATATTTGTTAAATATTTACGTTTGTTTTTATGGGGTGGACAAGAGCACTTTTTAAAGGGGGGAAACGAATCTTCGTATTCGTGGACTAGTATAGGCTGTTGATGATGATTGATGATGATTCATGCATGAAATTTAAGTATGCCAAATTTAAACTGTTATCGAAATTTTCTTAAAAATGCGTACAAAGAATTATTTTCATTTAAGAATACACATTTGATTATTTACCTTATTGCAGTAAAAATTAGTTTGATATCTATTGTTGTGGAAGAAGGTAAAAATAAAAGAGATATTTATTTATTTCCTTTAAAAACAACTATTATTACAGGTTTAGCCCAATGCAATAGTGTTATACAATATGTTTAGAATATGTTTCTGTTATAGAGTAAAAACTATTAATTGTTTATCAACACTCCATATACCTGCGGTTGCTAAGTCTATTCCCTCCATATAATAACTTTCCAACTGCTCCTTGACACATAAATAGAGATACTATAAAAATTTCAAACGTTGGAACACAATTCACAGGTCATCATCAAGTGGTACGGAGTACGAAACGCTCCTGGCACTCAAGATCTTACACCAGAACAAGAATGGTCCATGTTCTCCACACTCCTTCTCTCTCTAATAGGCTATGACGTGGAACGTCTGAACAAACACCATGATGACTCTGATCACCCTGAAGTTGCAACGAAAAAACAGAGAACCTCTAGTGATGGGACACTTGACGACTGGGATTATCTTCTAAATTCAAAAATGCATAAAGCTATAGGACCTTCTTTGACCATGCTAAAGTTACCCATACCGAATGTTGACAGTCACAAAAAAAGGCGGTCCAGTGTTGACGTTGAAAAAACGGGCCAATTCAACACTAACTCTTTACTATACCCGTATATATTACAGGTGCTGTATTCCCTACACTTAGTTTATGAAGAAATAAAACTAAATACTCTTTTGTGTAACAATTTAAAACCTTTATCGAACTTTTTGTATCAAATTTCGAAAGATTTGAAATTGGAAGCGTACGTAAATCATTACTGGCTGGATTTCCCAACGGATTTGAATTTGGAATACGAAGATGACTCTCAGATAACGGAGGAGAATTTAAAGAAAATATCTGAACCTGCGTACTTTAACCGATACCCGCCAAATATTTATTCATACTTGAATAGCATGTTGAAGAATTTGGATGTGGGACATTATCCTTATTTGGCTAATGTCAACAATATGTCCAGGGATATTATTGAGGTAAGTAAGGTTTAAGCAGTACTGACTTTGTACAGTCACCCTCAGTTTGTCCTTCTTTTCGGTAAACAGTTGTCAGAAAATTTTGTATCCCAGGTGGTAATCGAACCCACGGTGTCTAGCTTAACAGGATCAAGACCACTACCAACGGGAAAGTCAATAGATCTAACTATCTTATTGGGCACTTATGGATTTGCGATTATGCAGATTGCGTAATGTTGCAGCGGTCAAAAAACAAACTATTATAACAGGTATACTTCGTCTTTCAGATTATATCAATAGTAGGGTGTGGCCGCAGTGCAGGCGTACAAACGATATCACATCGCGACACTATGGCCGCCAGCAGTACGCCGCGTGCTAGAAGAGATCCACAGAATTATTTGTCGCCTTATTGCCAGGCTGTTATTACCGCTGTCGATAAAGGTACGTTCGCTAAGATATTTGTTCTATTAAAATATTACCTTGTTGTAAGTGGTATGTCACGCTACGATAGCGTAAAGGAACTTAGTGGCCAACTGTTGGACACTATTTTTTTGGATGCTTTCACACATACTATCTAGACTTATCAATGATCTAAGAAAATATGATTGTATAAGTTGTAGGCTGATCGAGATAGTATACCTGAATGTTTTGTTAAACCAATTTCTTTCATTTTGTTTTGTTTTAAAATTATTAACTTTTTTTTTTTTTTTTTTTTTTTGCGTTTATTTGCGATCAGCCCAAAGGCTATGAGCAAATATGCTGTGTGATGCTGTCGTGCGGAGTAGCTTCCCATTGGAAGCATCTACTCATCTGCTACCCAGAGCTACTGCCGGCCATCTAGCTCTAGGATATGGTGACGTTTTAGTCGTCTCGCATACTCGTCCATAGTGAGTTGGCGAGCGAGTACGTTAGGGTGACAGGTTAATCGCTCTTTGTATTTAGCTGCCAAACTCCGAATTTCCTCCTTGATTGTTTTCATTTCCAGGTGCTCGTGAACTTCGTTATTGGTTATGCACCATGGTACCTTCGCAATTGATCTTAGGATCTTGTTCTGTTGGCGTTGTAGTATATTTAAGTTGGTATCGCTTGCGCTGCCCCACAGTTGCAGACCATATGTCCAAATGGGCTTTAGGATGACCTTATATATAAGCAGTTTGTTGTCTAAGGAGAGTCTCGAGTTCCTTCCTAGCATCCAGTATAGGCTGTTGTGCTTTAGCTGAAGCTCCTGTTTTTTACATTGAATGTGGTGCCTCCAGGTTAGTCTGCGATCAATGTGTAAGCCAAGATATCTCACATGGTCACTGTGTGGCAGAGCACATTGGCCCAACTTTACAGGTGGGCAGTCTCCCTTTCTAAGGGTGAATGTCACCTGCACGGACTTCGCAGCACTAACCTTTATTTTCCATTTTTGGAGCCATTCGCTTAGTTTGTTAAGGCCCTTCTGCAAGTTTTCCGATGCCAGTTTTGGATCTTTGTTACTTGCTAATAAAGCGGTGTCGTCTGCAAATGTAGCTGTAGTTATTCCTGGTATTAACGGTAGGTCAGCAGTGTATAACGTGTAGAGCATGGGGCCGAGAACAGATCCTTGTGGTACCCCGGCGTTAATCTCTTGGAACCCAGAAGTGGCATCGCCTTCCTTCACATAAAATATGCGATCCTCGAGGTAAGATTTAAATATATGAAAGTAAGCGTGGGAAATATTCTGCTTGATCTTACATAATAGGCCTTTGTGCCAGACCTTGTCAAATGCCTGCTGGATATCCAAGAACGCTGACGAGCAGTATTCCCGTTGTTCTAAGGACTTTCTTATGGCGTCACATACTCTGTGAGCTTGTTCCACTGTGCCATGGCGTTCTCTAAAGCCGAATTGGTGATCCGGTATCACTTTGCGCTCCAAAAGGCTCGGCATAATTCTGCAAAGTATTGTCTTCTCCAGTACCTTGGATAGAGTAGGCAACAGGCTGATTGGTCGATAGGATGTTTTGTCGTTCATTAGTTTGCCAGCCTTGTAAATCATGATGATTTCTGAGACTTTCCACGCACTCGGAAAGTACCCTATTCGTAACATAGCGTTGAAGATGATGGTGATGAAGACAATAGCCTTTCTCGGTAGTTTCAGCAATATCTCTTTAGTTATTAGGTCGTAACCCGGTGCCCTTTTGCTATCCAGTCGTTTGATCGTTTTTGTGACTTCTGCGGGTGACACTGGTCTAGGAGGAAAGTCCATTTGAAGGTCTTGTTTTAGAATGAGATCAACATATTTTTCTGATGAGTTATCCAGTATTACATTCGGTTTGAAGACGCTTGTTAGATGATCCGCAAACAAGTCCGCTTTGTCCTGGTTTGTTCTGGCCCAGTCATTTTCCTTTTTTATTGGCGTTTTTGGTACGTTAGGTCTGTCACAAGAACGGGTCATTTTCCAAAGCGAGTAATTGCTGGCCTTAGTAGCAGTTAGAGACTCCAACTTTGCCTGCATTGTTAAGTCATTGGAATTCTTTATAGCTTCCTTCAACTCTACAATGGCTTTATTAAGTGCGGCCTTGTCTTGCGGATGACGGCCCAGCTGCCAAACTCTACGAAGCCTGCGTTTCTCCTGGATCATTATCTTTATTTCCAATGGTACGTTTTTGGGCTGGTTCCTATTTTGAGTAGTGGGCGTGCTTTTCCACGCCGCAACCTGTATGAGATTAGTGAATTTTACTACTGCTGTTTCTATTTCCTCCTCTCCCTTGAGCCTGATATTTAGATCAAGGTTTTCCTCAATGTGTTCCCTGAATGAGGGCCAATCAGTATGGCGATTGTGTAATATTGTGGGTCTCTCGATTTCAATTATAGTTGAGCTGACAGTTAGTAAGACTGGGGTGTGATCAGATGACCCATCAATACATGACTCAATCTTCATGTACTGTTTGGAGAGTCCTTTTGTTAGGAAGAAGTCAAGTATGTCCGGGATTCGATTGTGATCGGATGGCCAGTTGGTAGGTTCTAATGGGGCAATTGTATTTAAGTGATTTATATCAACGCTCAACTTTAGTTGTCTTCCCCTTGTTGTAGTTAGTCTTGAACCCCAGTGGACATGTTTTGAGTTCCAATCGCCTCCTGCTATGAAGCGATTGCCAAGACTTGAGAAGAAGTGAGAAAACAGGTCGGAGTCTATTCGATGTTTTGGTGGACAGTATACAGCTGAGACATTAAAGTATCCACATCTGTCTTGTATTGCGACTGTAGTGGCTTGTATTTGCTCGATTTTATATTCAGGCAGCAAATGGTGCTTTATTTTGTCCCGAATTATTATAGCTGAGCCTGCATGACCTGTTCCGTCAGGGTGGTTTGTAGTGTATGTCTGGTACCCTTTGATTTTGGCATTGGTTTTGTCTGTGCAGTGTGCTTCGGATATTAGGACTATGTCTAGCTTGTGCTCGGCCATTAGTATCTCGAGCTCATCTTTGTTAGGTGAGAGTCCATTTATGTTCCATGTAGCTAGTCTTAGCCCAAGGCCTTTTAACATTGTAGTTTGGTTATAAGCGTAGTCATGAGGCTCATTAAAGCACTCATTTGTTGTAAGATTAAGTCGAACTTCTCATTTTGTTTAGTGAGGATAGTTTCTAATACTGTTAGGAGGATAGTTTCTAATACTCTAATACGCTAAAATTATTAACTACCTTAAGTGTTGTCAATATCTATCATATCACGCGACATTCACTTTATATGCAGTAACGATTTAGGTCAAAAATACTGACCTCAATTTAAGATTAATAATTAAATTCTACTCCATATACATTTAAAATAAAACTTAATTTTCCTTCCAGGTATAACTCTTCGTGATATAGACAGCCTGCCTCCGGCAGTAGCCCTCCTTCTCCTCACAATACTGTCGCGCTGCAAGAGCTCTCCTCCAGCAGACTGGCCTCCCGAGGCCTATAATCTGGTGATGAGAGAAGACCTGGCCCACCAAGCTAATGTGGCGCAGACTATGAGTACCGCCAACGATTATATGGAGTGTAAGTATACCTACAGCTTTTAGGGATATTTTAGGGGTTTTCTTACATATCTGACTGGTTTTGTTCCCAAAGGGGGTGTTATGAAGGGTAAAACTAGTCAGCCGTCTTTAAAATATACAAAAAGAATATAAATATCATGATAGGCATAACAAGTATATTTATTGAGGACTAAATGGTGCCCGCGACTTCTTTCGCTTCAAATTTGAAAAGCGCTGGCTTAGTGGGTTGGATCCCCGGACCGGGCTAAATTTTATAGGGTTTTTCAGAGAAAAACAATAACCTAAGTTACTCCTTATCTAGACAGCTACCCGGTAGTAAAATATTATCAAAACCGATCATGCTTATTTAAAAGTACATTTAGTAATTATTATAATATATATATAGCTACCATTCCCTACATAATAAATAAAAAATACTAGATTTACTGTTAAATAGCGTAACCTACGTACCTAGCAACCCTAACCTACGTACGCAAAAATCTAATGATAAATCACAGTTCACTGTGATTTTGTAATAAATAAACATGTTTTATTACCTACAGTCATAGCCATGGAGGTCCTGGAAAAAGACACGGTATACACAATGGCGAAACGGGTCGTAGATCCTCCTAGAAGCAATCCGGAGGACGCTGACGTCATAACTGGCTGCGAGCACCTCAATACCCAGTTGCTCAGCTTATTGTATCCTAGAGATCACAGGTATGCACCAATCCCTTAAGACGCATACATACATAATAAATAGTTAAAGCGAGGACTTCATCATCATCACATCAACAGCCTTTAATAGTCCACTGCTGGACATAGGCCTCTCCTTACAAAGGAGGTTTTGGCCTACTATACCACGCTGGCCAGACGGGTTGGTATAGGGTTTGTGTCAAGTTTTCCTTCTTTTTGCAGTGCTGTTGTCTTGCATTGTTTTGCGCCCTTAGTCGGCTCTTACGACACCCACGGGCGTGAATCTGGGTAGTGACATTCCGTATTCTTAATCCGTCACTCCACGGACGAGACTTAAAGAACATTAATGGGGCATTGGATGCATCGGAAATGGGTATTATTATATATTGTTAAGCAATTAGGGGGTCCATGGACACACTATTACACTTGGACCCCAACCTAGGGGTGTGAGAATAATTATTAAATTTATATTCAACTTCAATCCCCAGACATTGTACACTGAAGGACATCACATATGAGAATTAAAATCTAGCTTTTTAACAATACAAATTAGCGGCTTTATCGCTCTGATACAGGCAACGATGAGCGATCTCTTACAGGCAACTATATGCAAAGACTTTATTGGCGGTACGCGAGTGTTTAAGTGGAAAGAACCTTCTCTTGTTGCTTTTGCACCTGGTTTATTTTCAACAGCCAATAACAGATTTGGTGGAGAATTGGTGAAATATTTGAGACTTATTGTTTCAGAATGACTGAAGTGATAAATTTACTTCAGTCATCCATCCCGGTCACCATTAACTTGACACAGCGGCCAGAGGTCTCTGATCACGATTTTATAGAAGAACAGGAGAAGTATTTGTATGCTATCAGTACTAGAACTATGGCGTTACCGATTGCCAGGTGAGATATTTTATTATTTACAGTATTATATATCTTGGGTGAATATGAGGGTTCCGTACGCGTGCCGCGCGCGCGTGTGCGTGTGGGGGCGCTGGCGCGGCGCGGGCCTGGGTATATGTGAACGCTAAGAGTGCGTGCGGTGCGCAGGGGCATGGCGACGCTGCGCACGGTGCCGAGCGGCGCCACGCAGGGCGCGCAGGTGCCGCGCGTGTGCGTGTGGGGGCGCTGGCGCGGCGCGGGCCTGGGTATAGGTGAACGCTAAGAGTGCGTGCGGTGCGCAGGGGCATGGCGACGCTGCGCACGGTGCCGAGCGGCGCCACGCAGGGCGCGCAGGTGCCGCGCGTGTGCGTGTGGGGGCGCTGGCGCGGCGCGGGCCTGGGTATATGTGAACGCTAAGAGTGCGTGCGGTGCGCAGGGGCATGGCGACGCTGCGCACGGTGCCGAGCGGCGCCACGCAGGGCGCGCAGGTGCCGCGCGTGTGCGTGTGGGGGCGCTGGCGCGGCGCGGGCCTGGGTATATGTGAACGCTAAGAGTGCGTGCGGTGCGCAGGGGCATGGCGACGCTGCGCACGGTGCCGAGCGGCGCCACGCAGGGCGCGCAGGTGCCGCGCGTGTGCGTGTGGGGGCGCTGGCGCGGCGCGGGCCTGGGTATATGTGAACGCTAAGAGTGCGTGCGGTGCGCAGGGGCATGGCGACGCTGCGCACGGTGCCGAGCGGCGCCACGCAGGGCGCGCAGGTGCCGCGCGTGTGCGTGTGGGGGCGCTGGCGCGGCGCGGGCCTGGGTATATGTGAACGCTAAGAGTGCGTGCGGTGCGCAGGGGCATGGCGACGCTGCGCACGGTGCCGAGCGGCGCCACGCAGGGCGCGCAGGTGCCGCGCGTGTGCGTGTGGGGGCGCTGGCGCGGCGCGGGCCTGGGTATATGTGAACGCTAAGAGTGCGTGCGGTGCGCAGGGGCATGGCGACGCTGCGCACGGTGCCGAGCGGCGCCACGCAGGGCGCGCAGGTGCCGCGCGTGTGCGTGTGGGGGCGCTGGCGCGGCGCGGGCCTGGGTATATGTGAACGCTAAGAGTGCGTGCGGTGCGCAGGGGCATGGCGACGCTGCGCACGGTGCCGAGCGGCGCCACGCAGGGCGCGCAGGTGCCGCGCGTGTGCGTGTGGGGGCGCTGGCGCGGCGCGGGCCTGGGTATATGTGAACGCTAAGAGTGCGTGCGGTGCGCAGGGGCATGGCGACGCTGCGCACGGTGCCGAGCGGCGCCACGCAGGGCGCGCAGGTGCCGCGCGTGTGCGTGTGGGGGCGCTGGCGCGGCGCGGGCCTGGGTATATGTGAACGCTAAGAGTGCGTGCGGTGCGCAGGGGCATGGCGACGCTGCGCACGGTGCCGAGCGGCGCCACGCAGGGCGCGCAGGTGCCGCGCGTGTGCGTGTGGGGGCGCTGGCGCGGCGCGGGCCTGGGTATATGTGAACGCTAAGAGTGCGTGCGGTGCGCAGGGGCATGGCGACGCTGCGCACGGTGCCGAGCGGCGCCACGCAGGGCGCGCAGGTGCCGCGCGTGTGCGTGTGGGGGCGCTGGCGCGGCGCGGGCCTGGGTATATGTGAACGCTAAGAGTGCGTGCGGTGCGCAGGGGCATGGCGACGCTGCGCACGGTGCCGAGCGGCGCCACGCAGGGCGCGCAGGTGCCGCGCGTGTGCGTGTGGGGGCGCTGGCGCGGCGCGGGCCTGGGTATATGTGAACGCTAAGAGTGCGTGCGGTGCGCAGGGGCATGGCGACGCTGCGCACGGTGCCGAGCGGCGCCACGCAGGGCGCGCAGGTGCCGCGCGTGTGCGTGTGGGGGCGCTGGCGCGGCGCGGGCCTGGGTATATGTGAACGCTAAGAGTGCGTGCGGTGCGCAGGGGCATGGCGACGCTGCGCACGGTGCCGAGCGGCGCCACGCAGGGCGCGCAGGTGCCGCGCGTGTGCGTGTGGGGGCGCTGGCGCGGCGCGGGCCTGGGTATATGTGAACGCTAAGAGTGCGTGCGGTGCGCAGGGGCATGGCGACGCTGCGCACGGTGCCGAGCGGCGCCACGCAGGGCGCGCAGGTGCCGCGCGTGTGCGTGTGGGGGCGCTGGCGCGGCGCGGGCCTGGGTATATGTGAACGCTAAGAGTGCGTGCGGTGCGCAGGGGCATGGCGACGCTGCGCACGGTGCCGAGCGGCGCCACGCAGGGCGCGCAGGTGCCGCGCGTGTGCGTGTGGGGGCGCTGGCGCGGCGCGGGCCTGGGTATATGTGAACGCTAAGAGTGCGTGCGGTGCGCAGGGGCATGGCGACGCTGCGCACGGTGCCGAGCGGCGCCACGCAGGGCGCGCAGGTGCCGCGCGTGTGCGTGTGGGGGCGCTGGCGCGGCGCGGGCCTGGGTATATGTGAACGCTAAGAGTGCGTGCGGTGCGCAGGGGCATGGCGACGCTGCGCACGGTGCCGAGCGGCGCCACGCAGGGCGCGCAGGTGCCGCGCGTGTGCGTGTGGGGGCGCTGGCGCGGCGCGGGCCTGGGTATATGTGAACGCTAAGAGTGCGTGCGGTGCGCAGGGGCATGGCGACGCTGCGCACGGTGCCGAGCGGCGCCACGCAGGGCGCGCAGGTGCCGCGCGTGTGCGTGTGGGGGCGCTGGCGCGGCGCGGGCCTGGGTATATGTGAACGCTAAGAGTGCGTGCGGTGCGCAGGGGCATGGCGACGCTGCGCACGGTGCCGAGCGGCGCCACGCAGGGCGCGCAGGTGCCGCGCGTGTGCGTGTGGGGGCGCTGGCGCGGCGCGGGCCTGGGTATATGTGAACGCTAAGAGTGCGTGCGGTGCGCAGGGGCATGGCGACGCTGCGCACGGTGCCGAGCGGCGCCACGCAGGGCGCGCAGGTGCCGCGCGTGTGCGTGTGGGGGCGCTGGCGCGGCGCGGGCCTGGGTATATGTGAACGCTAAGAGTGCGTGCGGTGCGCAGGGGCATGGCGACGCTGCGCACGGTGCCGAGCGGCGCCACGCAGGGCGCGCAGGTGCCGCGCGTGTGCGTGTGGGGGCGCTGGCGCGGCGCGGGCCTGGGTATATGTGAACGCTAAGAGTGCGTGCGGTGCGCAGGGGCATGGCGACGCTGCGCACGGTGCCGAGCGGCGCCACGCAGGGCGCGCAGGTGCCGCGCGTGTGCGTGTGGGGGCGCTGGCGCGGCGCGGGCCTGGGTATATGTGAACGCTAAGAGTGCGTGCGGTGCGCAGGGGCATGGCGACGCTGCGCACGGTGCCGAGCGGCGCCACGCAGGGCGCGCAGGTGCCGCGCGTGTGCGTGTGGGGGCGCTGGCGCGGCGCGGGCCTGGGTATATGTGAACGCTAAGAGTGCGTGCGGTGCGCAGGGGCATGGCGACGCTGCGCACGGTGCCGAGCGGCGCCACGCAGGGCGCGCAGGTGCCGCGCGTGTGCGTGTGGGGGCGCTGGCGCGGCGCGGGCCTGGGTATATGTGAACGCTAAGAGTGCGTGCGGTGCGCAGGGGCATGGCGACGCTGCGCACGGTGCCGAGCGGCGCCACGCAGGGCGCGCAGGTGCCGCGCGTGTGCGTGTGGGGGCGCTGGCGCGGCGCGGGCCTGGGTATATGTGAACGCTAAGAGTGCGTGCGGTGCGCAGGGGCATGGCGACGCTGCGCACGGTGCCGAGCGGCGCCACGCAGGGCGCGCAGGTGCCGCGCGTGTGCGTGTGGGGGCGCTGGCGCGGCGCGGGCCTGGGTATATGTGAACGCTAAGAGTGCGTGCGGTGCGCAGGGGCATGGCGACGCTGCGCACGGTGCCGAGCGGCGCCACGCAGGGCGCGCAGGTGCCGCGCGTGTGCGTGTGGGGGCGCTGGCGCGGCGCGGGCCTGGGTATATGTGAACGCTAAGAGTGCGTGCGGTGCGCAGGGGCATGGCGACGCTGCGCACGGTGCCGAGCGGCGCCACGCAGGGCGCGCAGGTGCCGCGCGTGTGCGTGTGGGGGCGCTGGCGCGGCGCGGGCCTGGGTATATGTGAACGCTAAGAGTGCGTGCGGTGCGCAGGGGCATGGCGACGCTGCGCACGGTGCCGAGCGGCGCCACGCAGGGCGCGCAGGTGCCGCGCGTGTGCGTGTGGGGGCGCTGGCGCGGCGCGGGCCTGGGTATATGTGAACGCTAAGAGTGCGTGCGGTGCGCAGGGGCATGGCGACGCTGCGCACGGTGCCGAGCGGCGCCACGCAGGGCGCGCAGGTGCCGCGCGTGTGCGTGTGGGGGCGCTGGCGCGGCGCGGGCCTGGGTATATGTGAACGCTAAGAGTGCGTGCGGTGCGCAGGGGCATGGCGACGCTGCGCACGGTGCCGAGCGGCGCCACGCAGGGCGCGCAGGTGCCGCGCGTGTGCGTGTGGGGGCGCTGGCGCGGCGCGGGCCTGGGTATATGTGAACGCTAAGAGTGCGTGCGGTGCGCAGGGGCATGGCGACGCTGCGCACGGTGCCGAGCGGCGCCACGCAGGGCGCGCAGGTGCCGCGCGTGTGCGTGTGGGGGCGCTGGCGCGGCGCGGGCCTGGGTATATGTGAACGCTAAGAGTGCGTGCGGTGCGCAGGGGCATGGCGACGCTGCGCACGGTGCCGAGCGGCGCCACGCAGGGCGCGCAGGTGCCGCGCGTGTGCGTGTGGGGGCGCTGGCGCGGCGCGGGCCTGGGTATATGTGAACGCTAAGAGTGCGTGCGGTGCGCAGGGGCATGGCGACGCTGCGCACGGTGCCGAGCGGCGCCACGCAGGGCGCGCAGGTGCCGCGCGTGTGCGTGTGGGGGCGCTGGCGCGGCGCGGGCCTGGGTATATGTGAACGCTAAGAGTGCGTGCGGTGCGCAGGGGCATGGCGACGCTGCGCACGGTGCCGAGCGGCGCCACGCAGGGCGCGCAGGTGCCGCGCGTGTGCGTGTGGGGGCGCTGGCGCGGCGCGGGCCTGGGTATATGTGAACGCTAAGAGTGCGTGCGGTGCGCAGGGGCATGGCGACGCTGCGCACGGTGCCGAGCGGCGCCACGCAGGGCGCGCAGGTGCCGCGCGTGTGCGTGTGGGGGCGCTGGCGCGGCGCGGGCCTGGGTATATGTGAACGCTAAGAGTGCGTGCGGTGCGCAGGGGCATGGCGACGCTGCGCACGGTGCCGAGCGGCGCCACGCAGGGCGCGCAGGTGCCGCGCGTGTGCGTGTGGGGGCGCTGGCGCGGGCGCGGCGCGGGCGAGGGCGCGCCCGCCGCGCACGCCTGGCCCAGCTTCCACAACGGCGCCGCCGCCGGCCTTGCGCTCGTGCCGCTCTCCGGACTCACCATCGACTCCGAGTGGGTGCTCTATAACAAGCCTCGGGTGAGTGACCGCCTTCTCTCTCCCTCCTTGGCTTCACTAGTGTTAGTGTAATTTTATTTTTCTCCTGTTCACGACGTACGTATACGAGGCATGCCTTTTAAGTTTTGTCGTTTGAAGAAAAAAACACAACTAGAACCTTATAGTACTTATTATTGTATTCACCATGTAGCTTAATACACTTTTCCATTCGCTCAAACCAGTTATTATAACATTTATTCCACTCTATAGTGGGGTGTTCAAAATGGCTGACTTGAAAGAGTCGACTGCTTCTTCACCGGACTGCAACCTTTGACCACGAAGACTTTTCTTAATTTTAGGAAATGTAAAGAAATCGTTAGGGCTTAGGTCAGGACTGTATGGAGGATGGTCAAGAATTTCTACTTTTTCCTGCTCCGAATACTTAATCGTTTGACGAGCGCTGTGTGAGCTTGCGTTGTCGTGGTGCAGGATGATGAGTCGCTTTGAGTTAGATTTTCGAAGTTCGGCGATGACTTGTGGTAAACAAACTGTGGTATACCACTCTGCGTTAAACGTTCTACGATCTTCAAGTGCAATAGTCGCAACATGGCCGGTTTCTCCAACAAACGTGGACACCATCTTCTTTGAAGTGCTTCGAGAACGAACAACTTTAGTCGGCTTTGTCTCGTCTTGAAAGACCCAGATTGTAGATTGTTGTTTGGAATCAGGATCGTAGGCAACGATCCAAGATTCGTCACCACTGATGATGTCGTAGACGTGATTTGACTCTCCTCGGTTGAACCTTTGCAGAGTTTTCTTACACCATCTGACGCGGGCCGCCTTGTGATCGTCGGAAAGCAGATGCGGTATCCAACGGCAAACTAGCTTTCTCACACCAAGCGCTTCATGCAAGATCTTCTGAATGGTTGTCCCTGAGATGCCTAATAGAGCCTCTATCTCTCGATACGTCACATGACGATCTTCGAGAATTAGTTGTCTCATAGCAATGATGTTATCTTCAGTGAAGGCGGATTTTGTTCGTCCTTTGCGAGATTTGTCACTAACACTAGTATGTCCACGCTGGACTTCTAAGTACCAGCGTTCGACAGTCCGCCATGGGGCTTCATCACTGAACAGAGATGTTAGCTCTTCAAAACACTGAAGCCGTGTCAGGCCTCTTCTAAAGTTGTAGAAAACTATTGCACGAACATGTTCCTTAGAAAGATTAATTTTCGTACGTAACCTGACAGATTCCAATCGACGCTGTGACTAGACAATAGCATAAATCCTAATACTTTCAACTGTTTTGAGATTCAAAATTTCAACACATTCGAATATAGAACAGTTCCAAATTCAAAATTGCCGGGAAATATGGAAACGACAGAACTTAAAAGGCATGCCTAGTACGTAAGACGTGCACGTACTTTTTTCTATGTCCCTTTCTGTATTTCCGTCTTGTACTTTGCAAAATTACATGATAATCGGTTTGGTTAATCAGATCAGTAAAACACTGTTATTCGCGTTTATAATATTAATAACTTTTAGCCTCTACTTCGAATTTTTCCGAGATTAAAAATCTGTACAAAATTATACAGTTCTATTAAGCCGTCCATTCTTTCATGTGCATGTTAACCTTACAGGGTACCACAGAAATGTCAACAGAACACGCTGGGTTCTTAATGGGCCTGGGACTGAATGGACACCTTCGGGACATGCCATTTATGAACATATACGAATACCTGGTAAAATGCAACGAAATGATTAGTGTGGGATTGCTTTTGGGACTTGCGGCTACATATAGAGGTAAGTGTTTTTTTATGTATAGCATTTTTTCTTTTGCTTTCTATGAAAAAGAACGGTAATGTGAAGACGTTTTCTCGTCTTCCACTCACGCTTATTGGTCTAATCAAATATTAAATCAAATACAGTTTCAATCAAATTCAATTTCAATCAAATTCAAATCAAATTATATACACACACGCACACGGTATTGAAACTAACTGTCAGATGGTAGAATACGATTGCTCTAAGGTGCAAAGGATTCACTTCATAATCAGTTATTAAAGTTGTTAAAAAGATTACAACATCCTTATAAACAATACGCTTTTCTTCCATTCATTGTTCTAATAATAATTTACTTCATTTCCCAATGTGCACGATTCATAGCTATAGAATTGCTCAGGAAATTTCCAAAATGTTTAAAACGTTTTTTTTAATACAGGCCTGAGTAAATGTAAAATTATTTTTCTGTGTGTGACATCTCTCCTCTAGCAATCCTGCAATCTGTGGTAGTTATTTTGTGAAAAGCGACAGGAAACCTTTTTTGTATTTGATTAAAGTACTTATTGATGTAAGTTTTAGGGTATATAACATAAAAGCAGGAGCTATGTATGGTAAGAATCGATAAATAAACGATCGAATCGATCAACAGTGGGAGAGCACGAATGGGCCGGCTCGACGGGAGTGATCCGAGCGTACCTTTCCTCAATTGGAGGTATTAGAACTGGATTCACTAATGAAACACGGTTTCAAACACTATATTATTTAATTAACACTCGGGCGTTACCACTGTGACAATACAATAGGACACAAAAAACTTAGAAGTATATCCGGTGACAAGAATCTTTAGGCAGATTTAAAAATGACGTCACTTTATGAACGCCATCTAGGGATTCAATTCTCAACTATACAGGCCTCACAGAAAACCGGTGTTAAGCAATTCTTTCGTTGCCTTTCACTGAGTGAGTGAGGTTACAAAATCCCCCCTCCCGCTGACTCGAGCGGGAGGGACTCCAAGGGCAGCAACGCACTTGTGAATTTTGAGTTGCAGGTGTCCATGGGCGGCGGTAGTTGTTTACCATCAGGTGACCCGTCTACTCGTTCGCCCCCTTATAACATAAATAAAAACTTTCTTCACAAAAGTAATATGAATTCGTATCATTAAATTGTTAAAGGACTGGAGGGATCTATCTTTGTTTTGGTTAATAGGTACTATGGACGTACAAGCTACCAAGATGATGAGTATCCACCTAGAACCCCTGCTGCCTCCCACCTCTATCGAGCTGGATATTCAACAGAACATCCTGGTAGCGGCGTTGCTGGGCGTAGGACTCATATACCAGGGCACTGCGCATACACATTATTCGCAGCTTCTGTTGCTTGAGATAGGTAAGATTGGTAAACTTTTTTATGACAAGTAATTTTAAAATTATGTATGGGTATAATGGTGTATGGTTCAAGTTATGAGTAAAAAATGTGATGTTTTTTATTATAGAAAGAAAGAAAGAAGGAAAAAAAAGGTTTCCTCACATGGTGTAGTACGAGTTAATAGTACGTGTAGACTGTCAAAAGTTTACATTGCAGTATCTTTAAATCTAAAAAAAAACCTGGTCGTTGATTACTATTAATTTTGTACCGCTTTCTGAGCACAGAAAGCGGTTCACAGAAGCACAAAATTGTCAATATTTTCCCGAATGTTGAACTTACCTTCACGATTAAAATTGTTGATAAAAAATAAACGCATACAGTAAAAGTTTCTTATTCGCGGATTGTATGTTCCGTAAATGTGCCACGAATACAGAAACAATGAATATAACATTGTTATTTGTAAAAGATTATTTATTTTATTTAAGGAAAACCAACAGCTATGAGTCCACAACTTTAGGCAAAATAATAGGTAACAGAAAGCCAATTACAGGTTTTCACGAGTAAGATAACAGCATTATCGATAAAACTTCAAGAACACTCAATGCACGAACTTGGTATACACATATAATTATTACGATTCGTTTGAGTAAGCTAATCTCCAAAGAAATTATGATTTAGCAATTTAGTGGCCGTGTCACTTTTTATGGTGTAAGGATCGAAATCATATTCTTTGCATAATATGTTGAAATCTCTACTTGCTCGCACCAGAATTTTTTCTGTAGTTTGAAGATGATGGGGGGATTGAAATTGGAGGGCTATGCCTAACATATCTGGAAGGAACATTGAATTTAAGCTTGTGTAATAGTTCTGGGCAGTCAATTTTGTTAGAAATTATTTTGGCGAATAATGTACTAACCGACGACGGTAAGTTAAAGGCTGTATATGAAATTTCTTGCACATTTGTATATAACTTTCAGAAGTGTAGGGGTTTAGAACGCGATTACATAAAAATCTTATAAACCGTTTTTGGACATTTTCAATGCGGCTTATGTACTTGTCATAGAAAGGGTTCCATATTTGCGAAGCATATTCGAGATGGCTCCTGACATAAGTACAGTACAAGATCTTCAGATCTTTATATGGGATATGTTCCAAGATTCTGGAATAAATATCGCTGCTGTATTTTCATTCAGTTAACTACTTACTTTTTACGGCAGCAGAACTGTCCTTCGACATGTTTTTTCTTTGTTTTGATAGACTATTTGTATTAATCAAATAGGCATTGTGATCTTTCAAAATTATTTACGGTATTCTTCATATTATTCGTGTAAAATATCAAAATAATACGTTCCCTGGAGCGAATAAAGAGATAGCCAACGGACAATTCGTCATGTGTGTGGTGTGCAGGCAAGCCGCCGGGCCCGGAGATGGAGAACTGCGTGGAGCGCGAGGGCTACGCGCTGGCGGCGGGGCTGGCGCTGGGCCTGGTGTGCGCAGGCGCGGCGCGCGCGCGCTCGGCCCAGGCCGCGCCGCTCGCGCACAAGCTGCGCACCTACATGCTGGGCGGCGACAAGCACCCGCTCACCGGTACGTGCTCCTGCACAAACTTGTACACTTTTCCAAATACCTATACCTAATAATAACATTCTATATTTGTAATACTATAAATTTGATTATTATCTCCCACATACAAAGAAACAGAAACATACTACAGCGCCATCTAACGAGGACACACCGAACTATGAAGTAACTCCTGAATGAGAATTGCTCATCCTGTATCGTGATATGAAGAATTCTCTATATTTTCTTACTTAAACCTCTCACCCTATTTTTGGTGTAGATATAGACAGGATATATTATCGTGAGAAGCATCAGAGTGTAAGATCGATCCGTGTTCAGGTTCTCAGAAGGAGAAGTACAAGCAGGGCTCGTTCGCGATCCGCGAGGGCGCGACGGTGAACCTGGACGTGACGTCGCCGGGCGCCACGCTGGCGCTGGGCCTCATCTACATGCGCTCCGGCAGCGCCGCCCTCGCCGCCTGGCTCCAGCCCCCGCGCACCGCCTACCACCTCGACTTCGTGCGGCCCGACCTGCTTATGCTGAGGATCATCGCTAGAGGTACTTCTCCCCCCCCCCCTCCCCACCACTAACTCTACCCGCGCTCCGCCTGGCTCCCCTTTACCTCAGATGAGACCTGGTAGATGATACCTGCACTTCAGCAACGACCTATCTCACTAGTTGGGGACTGACTACTATTTAAGAAAAAAAATTCCGATAAGTATTGATCAATATACTGTTATCTTGGATAATGTTTATTTTTGGATGACAAATTCATCTAAGTTTCTAATATTTACAGGACTGGTCCTGTGGGACAGCATAGAACCCACGGAGGAGTGGGTGGAAAGTCAAGTACCTGAAACAATAAAGCCGTACTGTTTTGTCAAACCTACAGAGGATAATATCGATTATGAAGCTATGAAGTGAGTTATTTATTGAAAAATTTATGAATTAAACTTGTAGATTAAACAGATACCATTTTGTTCCCTTGTAATATTTTCGACTTCCACCTTATTCAGGTATCAAGTATGATGATACATGCACAATAATGGAATCGAAGTTATCTACTGGATCTTCTGCTTGATACTTTCATCAATATCAATCATCAACAGCCTATAATAGTCCACTGCTGGACATAGGCCTCTCCTTAGGAAGGAGGTTTTGGCCTACTATACCAAGCCTTTGTCCAGCCGGATTGATATTGGATTTGTTTCAAGTTTATCTTCTTTTTGCAGTGCTGTTGTCCTGTGCAGTTTGTTTTCTTAGTCGGCTCTTACGACACCCACGAGATGAATAGGGGTGATGCCATTCCGTATATTTTCCGTAATCTTTCGTGACATAAAACTCTACCTTTTAGGTTTTATATAAACATTTTATTACTCATTGATTTATCCTGTTCTGTTTACTGTCATCTTTTACAACTTATTTTGCTTCTAATTATAAAACGAGTGAACTTTACAGTGGTCGCATATAATGTGTAACATTTGTCGGATAACTCTTGCATCGCGTACGCTTATCGGTCAAATCTAATAGCGCACATTGGGAAAACCCAATTTCCCGTTACATACTTGTGTCCCTTATAACGAAATCAATTCCGCAGATTGGTCAATAAGCGCGCGAGGTGTTCGATTGATATCTAATAATTTTATACATCATTTTCGATTACTGGAAGGCTCGTTCACTTGCACACTTTTTCACCAAATCAATCCGACAAACAAATCGAACTTTTTTGGTGGTTTAAGTGGTTAACAAGTAGACGAGTCATTTGGTGGTATGTGACTATTGCCGAATGGAGAGGGGTAAAAGAAGGGTATGGTTAAGGTACTCACTCGGACAAAAGCCATGAAAGAACTGTTTAATACCGACTTTTTGTATTACTCGAGGCGGTCCACGTGTGTTAAGCACAATGTGCATATTCCCCTCAGCCAAGCGTACTGCAACATAATAGCGGGCGCGTGCTTCGCGCTGGGGCTGCGCTTCGCGGGCTCGGGCTGCGAGGAGGCGCGGGACGTGGCGCTGCGGTACGCGCGCGTGCTGCTGGCCGTGGGCGCCAAGAGCGTGGCCGAGCTGGCCGGACGCTCCACGCTCGAGGCCTGCATGTGCGTCTGTCTGCTCGCCGCCGGCATGGTCAGCGCTACACACTAAAGCTTTTTGGTTTTATTTCATTTTGCAAAATCATTCCAGGTTCATCGACATCTTCAGTTCGATACCGTTTACTGTCTGCAAGTTTTATTCGTTTTATTAAAACATTTTGAACTTTAAGTTAGCAGTTTGCATAAGATAAATAAAAATTCTTTGGATTTTCTTAAAAAAATATTCACAGTTTACGTCATTTACGAGATTAATAATATGATTCTTAAATAAGATCACATTTTTTACGTTTTTACACCGTAATGAAATACGTATAGACTTTTAAATTGTCATCTTTATTGACTTATGGCAAATATATCAATTAAATATTTGATATATTATTTTAAGATTATAGTATAATATAATGATAACCGAAGACAAATGACGAAACCGATTCCAGGTGATGGCGGGTCGCGGTGACCTGGACGTGCTGCGCGTGTGCCGGCGCCTGCGCGCGCGCACGCCTGCGCACGCGCCGCACCCGCACGCGCCGGCGCTCACGCACGGCGGACAGGTACCCACACACTTCACTCTCCTCGCCCCAGTCTTAAGCTACCACTGTGTACACTACCGATCATCACCGACTCACGATAGTCAAGTACCTAGACAAATTTACAGCTCATTTCACCGAAGGGGACGAATTAATTAGATATACTCACTCTTTTCTACTGCACTGAGACATATTGTCCTTCACTTCTAATACAACTAGATCTTTTTTTCTTCTTTTTTTTTGTGTGCGGAACTCCCCTCGGATGCTACCCACCAGTGGGTGATTAAGTCGGACTCGAACCGACCAAAAACTGCACGCCGTCTCCAGGTACCAGTAGCCGGAGAACCAAAGCACTAGTACCCCGACGTACCTCAGGCCATCTACGACTTATAGATGACCCCTCCTCTATAGGAACCCGGATGTTCCCTTCCTGCTCAGAAGGGCGCGCGCGCTCCGTAGCGCGTCGCGCCTTTACCCACCCCGGCCTGCTTCTGCTAGAGTGACAGATGGCCTCACCTGTCACCCTCAGGCCTGCGCTTATGGAGGACGGAGGTCGGTCTGCGGTACCTGGCCCGATCTCGGATAATACAACTAGACCTGGGCCTTAACTCTGCTATTTTAATATTATATCAATGGAATGTCGTCGGAATAGTTTTGCACTTTTCTTATTCTACTAACTATGTAAAATCAATGACCCGATGACTGTCACTGATACAAATGTCGTCGATTTCTTTGTAACAGTTTGGTAAACGGTACATTTTAAATTTGTAAGAAAATAATAAATTTAATTTTCATGATATATCAATGTTGTTGATATCACCATTGATGATTTATATTACTATATCAACAGTCTATTGACACTGTGAATTTATGATAGTAGAATACCGATATTTTGACCGATGTCAGTGGCATCTCAATAGCGTGTTAATGGAATGGCAGTGGCATGGCGTTAACATAAAATAGCAGAATTGAGGCCCTGTTACTTTAAAAACAAGATGTATATAATATTCACTAACTCCCACGTCTACTGGATTAAGACACACCACTTCAATCGGATAACTAGTCGACTCGCCTTTACTCAACCTAAATATATTACACCCATACGGCCAGGAATCTAAAACACTAATTTCCACCCAATTAGGACGTACCCTACCTACAAACAAAAATCTACTAACGTATTGAACATTCTATCTTTTATATCCGTAGATAAATTCGCCCCTAATCGTCCCAGATAAAATAACTCGCCGACGACATGGATATTCTTCGTTAAATTTATGATTAATTTTCCAGATGGCAGTTCACTGCACAATAGGTCTGTTGTTCTTGGGAGGTGGTCGGGCCACCCTGAGCACCACCCCCACGGCTGTAGCGGCTCTGTTAGCTGCTTTCTTCCCCAAGTTTCCGACACATAGTGAAGATAACAGGTTGGCTCCTAACTCTTAAAAAGAAAAATTCCAGGAATCATTAAATGCAACATCTTTCTTTACGTCCTGAATAGTCCTCAATTATTAGTTTCATGTTATTATTATTGAATTGAGTCACTTTTAATTGAGTTTAAGGGTTTTATGACAACTACTTTTTTTTTATTAAGACAACTCCGCATTAGGAATATATCCTGTTTCACGGGGGACTTTACAAACATACATGAAACGGACACGAAGAACACCCAGACTCAGAACAACAATTTGTGGATCACACAAAGTGTCGTCCCATGTGAGGTTTAAAACCCACAACACCCAAAACACTTTGAAAATGGCGTGAGGCGAAACCGGTCAGGTTTAATAAATAAATATTGTGGAATACAAGTGACTTAATTCAATATGTTTCCACCAAGTGTCATTAGTCTACAGTATAAATAATCTTGATATCTTAAAGTCAACATTAAATTTAAATGATTTGATAATAGTATGACGTCATACCATAGTATTTCATACAAAAATGAACGGCGTCTATCGTTTTGACGTTTAATAAAAAGGTACTGATCTGACTTGACAGGAATCTACCCAATTCTAAGTAATGACATAAGCGCGGAAGTAAGTTTGTTAGGCTTTTACGCCTAGACTACCACATATCCCATGTTGTTAGGGTTGTGGAGTAGAGGACATGGGGACAATTTTGGCAAACAAGGGAGCCTTCCAGTAATTAACAATGATGGGTAACATATGATATCAAGCATCGCGGGCTTATTTTTCAATTCTGTGAAATTGATTTCGTTATAAGGGACGGAAGTAAGTTACAGGAAGTTCGGAAAGCGTGCGCTTTCGATTTGACCAATGAGCGTGCGTAGTGTTAAAGTTGGCCGTCAGATGGTAGGTGAGAGGTTAGATCGCCCATCCCTATTAAGAATGTAGGATCTGCAATTCAGCAATTTTACAGGAGGACGCGTCAAAGTTTAAAATTGCTTAATTTTGTATATATATAAATACATTAATTTACTTTGTTAACATAGCTATTTTAAAACTATGAGGAAAAATTGACTTTTTGTTAAAGCTGCTGAAAAATATTGCTTTTTTAGCCAATAGTAAAATAAAAGCAAAATCAAGAAAATTGCATATCCGACCTTCTTAATAGGGACAGGCGAGATGTGCTCTCTCTTTTTTTAGTAATTCCTTGTTGTTTCAGATACCATTTGCAAGCGTTCAGACACCTGTATGTGTTGGCTGTGGAGGCAAGGTTGATATTGCCGAGAGACCTGAGCACCGAGAAGTTATGTTATGCTCACATACAGGTAACTCTAATAAATAAATCATATTATTACTATTTGGTTGTTTGACTCCAATTGCCTTTTACCTAGATTAGGTAAAATAGTACATTGATTAAAAAAATTATTAATTAATTTCAATATAAAGTTTTTATCTGTTCCACAAGTATGCGAAACGCAAGTTGGAAGAACTTTTTTTTTTATAAGGACTACTAGCAACCGAAATTACTAGTATTCCTGTTAACCCCTCCCGCTAAGCTAAATTGCTTGTGTTAGGAGTGGGTTCACGTCGGTAGTGCACTGGTCAGGATTTGAACCCACGACCTATTGATCGCAAGTCCAACGCCTTAACCACTAGACTACCGCCGCTTTTCCATATTACGTTTTCATCACGTCAGTAAAAAACGAAGTAAATTGTTAATCGTGTTGTAATTTTTATGATTTTTACGCCTTTATGAAGGGTTAGGGTTTTCAGACCCTGAGTGTGGCCGCGGGTGGACGGGGTGGGTTTCCCCTCCACCCGCATTAGTTTGGCCAGCCGCGAGGGGGCGGCGTCCGCGTGTGCCGGACGTCGCCTAAAGAGAGGAACAACATTGAGACGGAGCCCGCACCAGGAGCGGGCTGGCGCTAGGAGGGGTCCGGATGTCTTAACAACAGCTGTTCCCGGATCCCTCCTGTTACAGGCGCAGAGTGGCACACCGTGTGGTTTTAGTCGGTCCGAGTCCGACACACCACCCCGCCGCAAACCCAGGTGGGGTGACGGTCCGAGGGGATTTCCACACGTTAAAAAAAAAAAGGGTTTTCAGATTTTGTTTCAATCGTGGCTGTTTTCCTTTTGTGACTTTAAAAATTTTAAAGGCAAGTAAAGTTGGTGTTTATACAGCATTATTTACTAACGCAATTGTTTTATATTTGATAGTGTTGGGAATAAATTTTCAATTTTAACAACAATCTGTTAAATTCTATCAGCTCCATGTTCATGTTATCATGTTCCTAATAAAATATTTGCTTGTTTTGTGACATATAAAGTCAATTGTTTTGACAACATTAGACAGATGATGGCCAAATGGAATAATAATACTTAAATATTTAACGTCTGTTTAATGCAACAGGTGATAGATCTCCAAGGCGTTGTCAAGGAAATGAAAGCACCCTGTATTATACCCGAACTGAACACGCTGAAAGAGGTGAAAATCAACGACCCTCGGTATTGGCCCATCACCTTTCAGAAAGACCGCAACTGGGACCAGTTAAAGTAAGTATATATATTTATATACTTGCACATCTCACTTAACACATCTTAGGGTTGCCTGGCTTAAAAGTGGAAACAATAATCCTGTGTCGCGGGGGACTTTACAGACATACGTGTGGGGATCGGACCCCGCGCGTGGCTACCGCTTAAACCACTACGCTATCCGTGCAGTCTGTACGCTTAACAGTTCTTCTTCTGTCATACTCTCATACTGACATACTCATACTCTTTGGTTTTTTGTCCTCTGAATACGTCTATAAGTTTATACTCTTTTTTTCCTATTTTGTTCGTATTATTTTATCTATCCTACATAATATAAGACCGCCACACATACACGACTATAAAGAACTTTAATAAATTATAGATACACAATTTTATTTGTTTTATTTTACTTTGATGTTTGACTTCCAGGAAATAAAAGTAACAATTTGTATAAACCAAAAAAAAATTAAATATTATCCAATAATATTACATATTGTGTATGTACATATTAAAAATACCCAATAATTTAAAAAAGTTTAATGTATTTTACATTCAAAAAATTTAAGAAAAATAACAATTTTTTTTTTCAGACTTTTCCTGGAATACTCCTGGTGTATAGATATAAAACAACGTGCAGGTTGTCTCTCGTACCTCGACGACCCACAAGGCTTCCTCACAATACTGGCGCAAACATTGACCCTAGACAAAGCCAACATTTGGTCTACGTCCGCCGACAACATCGAACTGTTCACCAACGACGACAAGATACGAAACTTTGTCAAACAATATTTGGTCAAAGACGTTAACACAAACATTTGCGCCGATTGTTTAGTGGAGTCGAAGAAGAAGAAAGGGTTCAAAGAAGTTGTGTTGAACAGACAGTGCTTGTGTAGGAAGTATACGAAGGAAGAACGAGAACATTTGCAAACGTTGGGTATGGTCACGTACGAGTGTGTGGTCAAGGATATCCTGTGTGCGTTACCTGTTTGGACCACGTTTTTAAAGGTGAGATATGCTTTTATATGTTTCTTTTATGTATACCTATTAGTTCTGTAGGACTCAAAGGGCGTATATCCTGTGGAAGGTGGAAGAGCCATGCTTCGGCACAAATCCGCCAGCTCGACCGGTGTGTAACTCTTAAGTTGTAGGTGTCTTACTCACTTACCATAAGCCGTTTACCTCTACCATGAAAAAAATAATCAATTTTATGTGTTATTAAGCCCATTTTTAGTTAATAAACTGTTTTCATTTAATTGGGGTTTAAAAAAATAGATACTTGATTTAGACTTACTTAACTTGATATAGAGATTGGGTTAGAGTGCTGGACTTCCGAGAGGCGACTGCGACCCTGACCTGCTCTATCTCTGCTTATCGTTCAATCACAAAGCAATATCTTTACTTGTAATTATACGTATAATTTACTATTCTAATTCCTAAAGCACCCGGCTATAAGCTATAAGCCCCTGTTACGAAAATGTGATTCAAGTTATTATAAAACTAGCTTTTGCCCTCGGCTCCGCCCGCGTTTCTGTCGAATTTTGACCGATTAGTAATAAAGGAATGAACGGACGTGTAGTGACGGATTAAGAATACGGAATGTCACTACCCAGTCATACCGTGGGTGTCGTGAGCCGACTAAGGCAAAACAACGCAGGACTGCAAAAAGAAGGAAAACTTGAAACAAACCCCGTACCAACCCGTCTGGCCAGCGTGGTATAGTAGGCCAAAACCTCCTTTCTAAGGAGAGGCTTATGTCCAGCAGTAGACTATTAAAAGCTGTTGATGCATTAAAGGAAAGGGTCAAATAATTTTCGTTCAAATCGATTAGATTAATCGTGGACATAGGTAGCGTACATGTACGTACATGATTTGTCTATAACAAATGTGTACTGAAACCAAAAAGATTTTCTGTAGTAATAATAGGACAAAAATAACATCTTTGATATTGAGAAACCTTGACAGAAGAATATTAATATTATATAAGAATTAATGACAAGATACCTTTTTTTTTGTTGACGGAGTGGAAAATCCCTTCGGATCTCCGACTCCTTGGGGATATAGTATTTTTGTTTTGGGACTAATCCCACCCACACGCCCATCGCTGTAACTCCTGTACACCTCGATCCACAGCAGTGACCCACGAACACACCGAGTTATGACACTCGGGAAGTCCCAGGAAGAAATTAAACTGTCTTGGAACCCGCAACGAAATTAATCAGAAGAAAATTGGAGGAGTTGGAAATACAGTAAATCCACTTCCCTCCTTAGCAAACCTCCTTTTTACTTCATTTTGTCTCCCGCTTTGCTAGGGATATAGTATGTGGTTATTCCACTAAAAACCACTCCGACGGCCAGCCTTAGGCGCTCTACTCTGGGGAGAACCCGGGCCATGTGATTTCAAGTCCCCCAGATCGACGCCGCACCTAACTAGGCCCCATCTCAGGGAAAGCCAGTGGCTTCTCCATGCCTCTCAGCCTATCCAGATGTTGCAGCCCGATCACATTTTCAGTGCGATCAGGCTGCCATCCTATCCCCTACCGCTGCAATTAATCTGCCACCAGACGTCCCCACTCTGGTGGCCCGCAGTCCAGTCGGCCGCCGACGTCTTCTTCGCTCGTAATCAGCCCTCTCCCGATCCCGTTCAGCGGTCTCTTTTTGGTGCATTACAGCTTCACAGAAAGAGACCACTGCGCCCCAGCCCTCCTCACCCGCCAGCATGGCAGTAATGATTCCTGGCGGGGACAAGTCTCGAATGACAAGATACCTACGTTAAGTTGTTGACAGCAATAACTACTCATTTGTGACAGGCAGCTGTCATTGCTTTCGACTTCAGTACAGCCTATAAAGTAAACAACAAACTGAAATAAATTTTGAACGCAAAGTTCTAAAAATCTAACAATTAATACTGTAATTGTCGATGATATTACCAGTCAAAAAAAAAAACAATAATTCCTACCCATGAGGTACACAAGGTGGTACAAAGGTCCCTTGAATTCATGCCCTTGTTCTTTAAAATTAATGTTCTTTTCAGATAATAAAGACAATGAAACCAGACCCATCGTCCTACAACATATGGCAAATCAAACTTCTCCTATCCCAAATAGACAACCACAACAAAAGAGTGATGAACGAAATGAAAATCGACGGCCAAGAGACACAGAACGAGCCTTTAATATCCAGCGAGTTTACTCTAGCAATTAAACAGAAGGTGTCGAACATATTTGATTCGTGGGAGTCGAGGCTCACACCCTACCTGAGGAAGTACCTCGGCTTGCCGAGCAGCAGGAAGATCAGCACTTGTGATGACGATGTCAAGAAGATCTTGGCCGGATTCTTGGTGTACCATGATCTGCCGAAAGGTGGATTGAAAAATGCTGTCGGTAAGGAACATATTCTATACTAGCTTATATCTGCGGCTGTGTTTGCGTTCATGTCTATTTGCCAATCAATTATTTCGAGTGCCAAAAACTATCTCTGTGCCAAATTTCACCCGTAGAATCATTCTACTAGTTCATTATAAAATTCTACTAGTTCATTTAAAAATATATAGACTGTGCTACTCTGAAAATATGGAATTTTGTTGTGGTTTTGTTTTATTGTTTTTTATTTTCAATAAATGATTTTTTATTTTATTATAGAGTAACAAAGCTCCGTCCAAACTTTCGCATTTATGTGAGATATGTTAAGGTACAGTCGAGTTCCACAATACAGGGGTATAAGGGTCGTCGTAACGAATACTGAAATACTGAATACTGAAATAGTTAGTCTATCATTCTGAGTCGAAAATCATTGGAATTTTTGGCTGGAAATTTCTTTTTTTTTTCATTTTTTGGTTAAAAATGATATCTAAATATAATATATAAAATACTGCAATGTAATTAATCAAAAAGTGTGTTAGTGTGTAAATTCTGTTTGCATGGAATACAAATATAGTTATTACTTTTGTCCGATACCTGCGGGGAATGACCTTAACGTTTGACGACTGATTGCATAAAACGTTTAAATTTCCAGCCAATGATTTTCGACTCACAATGATGGTTTGAGCTTTTACTATTACATTTATTTTTGCTTGCCGGTTCGGAAGTAATGTTAATGGTAACCAGACTGCTGATAGACATACATATATACTTTTAAATAGATACATATCTATACTAATATTATAAAGCTGAAGAGTTTGTTTGTTTGTTTGTTTGTTTGAACGCGCTAATCTCAGAAACTACTGGTCCGATTTGAAAAATTCTTTCAGTGTTAGATAGCCCATTTATCGAGGAAGGCTATAGGCTATATATCATCACGCTAAGACCAATAGGAGCGGAGCACCAATGAAGAATGTTTCAAAAACGGAGAAAAATTATTACTATTGAGAGACGCAGACGAAGTTGCGCTGGTCAGCTAGTTCTATATAAATCACACCCACGACCTCTGGCTTAGTAGTCAGGGCCACTAACATTTACTTAAGCATATATTTATTTTATAATTTATTAGGTATTCTAAAATACTTATTTTCTTCTTCTAAAAACCTACATAATAAAAACCTAAATTTCTTACGAGTCATGGTAACTTTAAGAGCAAGCTGTATTTATTTAAAGTAGTCGAGTCACCATTGTGTCAATGCTCAACACCTAACTCTCACTATGAACAGTCTGCTCATCATATCCTTCGGGAATGTAGTCTTTGGTATAATGAACGTAATATAATGCTGAATAGCTTGCAGGTGACATCTGGGGCGGTATACTATGGGGATCTTGTGTCAACTAGGGTGAATTTCTGTGCGTTTAGGCGATTCTGCCATACATATTATAGAAATGAAATATAGCTCACCTAGGACCCGTAGTATTTTGTGGCCATGGTGCTTCCCTATTTAAAAGGGTGTATGCCTACTTTACTTCATTTTGTCTGCCGCTTTGCTAAGGAGGGAAGTGGTTTACTGTATTTCCAACTCCTCCAATTTTCTTCTGATTAATTTCATTGCGGGTTCCAAGACAGTTAAATTTCTTCGTGGGACTTCCCGAGTGTCATAACTCAGTGTGTTCGTTTGTCACTGCTGTGGCTCCTGGTGTACAGGAGTTACAGTGGTGGGCGTGGGATTAGTCCCAACATAATAAAAACCTACACCTAACATTTAAAATAAGGTAGGGAACTTCCAGGTAAGGTTTTAGCAATAGTGCTGCCAGTTTTAGAATCTGGTATATCCATCACATCTTGCAATCACGTTTGTACAGACAACGCTACTTCTTAAACCTTCCCAAATCTCATGTACGTGGGCCCGTGGAGTCTCAATTTTGTACCATTAAATCCCATAAATTTTCAATTGGGTTTAGGTTAGGACTCTTGGCGAGCGTTTAATTAAATGTAAATCTTCTTGTTGAGCTACCCACCCCTGGACCCTTTATGCATTGTGGAAGCAACTTCCGTCCTGTACAAATTAGATTCTATGACCATTGGAATAAATAATTTTACCGGTTGGAAGAAATACATCTTTTAAAATGTCCACATAATCGATACCCGTCAATATCTAATTGGATTTTCAAAAAACATACAATCTTGACTTAATCGCCATTATTACAATATGATTTACTTTTGTTAGTAGATTGTTACAATTTATCAAAGAATATAAGCAAAAAATTTTAGACATCAAAATATACATATATCATAGAAAATTTGCATAGATATTTATGAATCTCAGGATTGCGCACAATACTTAGAGTCTGTCTGTAGCAATATTATTGATATTATGTAGTTACATATTAGTGTGTAGTGACTGCACGGATGGCGTAATGGTTTAAGCGGTCGCCACGCCGCTTACTACTACGCTGAGTGTTGATGGTTAAAACCCCACATGCGACGACACTTTGTGTGATCCACAAATTGCCGTTCTGAGTCTAGGTGTTCTTTGTGTCCGTTTCATGTATGTTTGTAAAGTCCCTCGCGACACGGGCTATATTCCTAGTGCGCGAGTTGTCTTTTAAAAAAAAATGACGTCACGGAGTTTTTACAATTATTGTAATTCAAAGCTGTTTAGTATTTTATGAAACATAATCTTGCCAATATATTTTTGATTCATGAACTTGGTCAGATATTAAAGAAACTCGACAGTACTCTTTTTTTAATAACGCTCCGGCTTCCTAAACATCCTATTTAATAAACAATTATATAATATATATTCCCCAAGTTCTGCGGCTTCCATATCTCGAAATGTTATATATGATTTCAACCCTTCGTATTCCACTCGCACTAGACAGGTTTTGTTTTGAGCCGTACTGTCCCATAAAAAATAATATTTTGATTCATAATCCACTTTTTTTGAGCTATGACTTATTTGTATATGTGTGTATTCGTAATTCTTATTTTGAAATATTATTGTATTGAATTTTTAATTTAGATTTACATGTAATTACAGGAGACGACGAGTTGTCAGTCCTGCTGAATCTAGACTCGTTATCAGTGGAGGCTCAGAGTGCGGTGTGGCAGTTGTACAGATGATCGCGGCTGTTGGCGGGCGGATACGTCACGCGCTCGCGCTGCTCCGGGGACTGCGTGCACGACTGGTGTTAGTGCGGACCGCGACAGTGGTAGTGCGGACCGAGCCAGTGGTAGTGCGGACCGAGGCAGTGTTAGTGCGGACCGAGGCAGTGTTAGTGCGGTGTTGTTGCTGGGAGGTGTTGGACGAACACAGCAGGTATTAGTGCGGGCACTGCCAGTGTTAGTACGATCACGGCCGGTATTAGTGCCGATCGGAGATGGTGTTTATGTAACCATTCAGTCAGTCATTTAATTATAGTAACTAAAGTTAGTTAAATTGTTAGGAAGCCACCCATTAATAACGTCTCACGGTAAGAGGGTGGGGAAAGTCAATAAGGTATGGTATTGTGTGACGAGGCTTGAGTGGGAGAATCCATAAGACGTTACGATGTTAAGTAATGTTGATGTTGAACATGTTAATATTTAACACAATATGTCATCTATGAATGAAAATCTATAAACAGTTTGTTAAAAAATATATATTTGGACCTGGGGTTTTTATTATTTTATTATTTGAATTTCATCAAAATAATATAAGCAATAGTTGGAACAGGTCAGGGTCGCTTACCCGTCTGACTCCTACACACCCTAAGTTCTGCACACGCACACACATATTTACTATGAAAGTAATAAATAATAGAAAAATATGTAAATATGGAGCTATGAGATATTTCTAATCACATTAGTTATATACATAGGTCAATATAATTAAACTTATTGTAATTATTAGCAAAGTGAAATAAGATCTAAACAATTTTGTTATTGTTCTTGTATTCAATAAAATGTAAGTTTTACATAACACGTTTTATTTTCAACCACTGGAAGTAAATACAATAATAGTCTGATCCCCAACTAGGCAGAGCCTTTGCAATGACAACCAGACCACTGACATACTGATATATTTCTAAATACATACAAATTATAGCTAAATTTCACCTAGACACAGAACAAATGATCGTGTTCATTACACAATTATTTGTTATGTGTGAGCCATCCCTTCAGATCTCCGACTCCTTCAGAACGTAGGAGCCAGGAGTATTATAAAGTGGTAGGAATCAAACCATGCGGTTTCTGGTCCTGCCTCCCCCCCCTAATCGACGCTCAGTCTAACCAGGCCAGGAACAACGTATTTAACGAAACGAAAGAAGGTATTCACTATCTTTGCTTGATTGGTACATATCTATTATATTGTGGCGACTCCCACATACAAAGAAACAGAAACATACTACAACGCCATCTAACGAAGACACACCGAACTACGGAGTAACTCCTGAATGAGAATTGCGAATCCTGTAACGCGATTTTTTTTTTTAAATGTATAAGGGGGCAAACGAGCAGACGGGTCACCTGATGGTAAGCAACTGCCGCCGCCCATGGACACCTGCAACTCAAAAGTCACAAGTGCGTTGCCGCCCTTAGAGTCCCTCCCGCTCGAGTCACCGGTAGGAGGGATTTGGGGTCCGCTAACGATATGAAGAATTCTATTGCCGATTAGCAGATATACAACTTCCCAACATCAACCGTTGGTCCACGGCCCGCCAGGCATGATCACCTCGGTCGGAGGATCCTACCTTTGTGTTGGAGGGACATGACACCCGTTCCACCACAATATTAATAGTGTGACATACATTTTTTCAATAAAGTTTGTAATCAGTTTTAATGTTCTTTTTAGTTTTTTGAAGTCGTCTCTTTCAAGGTTACTGTTGGTATTGTACAACTAAATATAATGCGTCAGAGACGCAGGTGCGAGGGCAGTGCTTACAAACCAATAATGTTTTGACGCCGAGGAGAGATTAGATAATTATAAAAAGATTTTACATTATACCTAATTATTGTGACATAATCATGATGAACTGTGCCGATTAATAGATAATAAAACTCGCCATAAATAGATAACACCATTTTAAACTCCGTAACGGGTTCATGTCTTACTGATAATTCACAAAATACAGATTTATCGTTAAATGAATCTTATTATGAAATCTATGGTTGATGATACCATTATCCTTAAGTTTTTTCAGTACCCAAAGACTGAAAGAGAGATTTCTTATTTGGGGTCAGTCTAATATGTAACATTGGATAGGGTTTTGGCTGGTTACTGTTTTGTCTGGCTGCCAACCTGACAAGGATGAGGAAAACGGATAGGGTAAAGGATACCTCAGGATACGACCTACAAACCTTCAAGAAAAGAGCGTACTCCTTCCTCAAAGGTTGGCAACGCGCTTCTGACTTCTGAGTTGCAGGCGTTCATGGGCGGCGGTAGTCGCTTTCCATCAGGAGACCGTGCTCGTTTGCCCCCCTATCCACAAAAAAAGAAGGGGAAACAGGAATGAGACTGCAGCTCGAAGAAACTGGGGCCTGGTGTTCGTCTGTCCGTCCTGTGATTGAAGACGCTACTGAACATGGTAATGAACTGACCAGAAAGAACTTAAATCTGCGGGCTCGACCGGAGTGATAAGCCTCATAGAAAACTGGTGTTAAGCAATTCTATCGTTGCTATTCACCGAATGGTTTCAAATCGTTGAGGGGTTTTGCTAATTCCGGAGGGGGGAGGAGGTCTTAGAGCACAAAAGGTGGCAACACAATTGTGTCTCCCAGTTGCAGGTGTCCATGGGCGGCGGTAGTGACTTACCATCAGGTGACTCGTCTGCTAATTTCCTCTCCTCTCTCTCTCTCTCAATTTAAAAGCTAAGCCCTTGTCGGTGGAGCAATCGCCACTCTTCTCTATTTCCTTCGAACTGATTGACCTCTTGATGGCCACGACTCCCACTTTCTCTTCACTTGCCGTATGTATGTTGATCTAGGCCATCCTCGTTTTCCCTATACCATAAAAAGCTCTCCCTTTGTGGTATACAGAAAAACGACTGCGACTTTTGCAGGCACTTTTTTACTATTATTATATTATTTTTTATTATACGTCCTCTGTGCTCGTAATCTACCTATCTTCCTACTAACTAATCTTTTTATTAACTTAGGATTAAAGTGAAGTCAGGTGAGTTCGACAAATATTCTTTAGCAATAACGCAGCGACACCTAAGGGTTGATCTGGTAAGGATGCTGACTGGGTTGGGCAAATTCGATCGATTTCTAGCATATAAACAAATTGGAGAATATCGTGAGTCATGACTACAAAAATGACCCCCTGGAAACGCCGTGAGCAGAACTAGGTGGTTTAATTTTGTCAACGCCCTTTACGAAATAATTATTTACATTGCTAGCAAAACCACTGATTGTATTTCACAATCAAGATTGTAGATTATCGATAGTCAAGATTTTGATATTTATAAATACATCATTGCATGGTATTTGTGGACAGTCTTCGGGCGTTATTTAAAAATAATGGATTACAAAACCACGTTCCTGCTTGTAACCTTTTTGGTGGGGAGCTTTGGTGAGTATATTTTTTTAGATACAAGCTGGAAAAACCTTTTCAAATCGTTCCTATATTTAGATTTTGACGGAAATGATAATAATAACAACAAAATGATTAAAAACTGTTTGCTTCCAGTAATTCCATAATGATAAATTTTCTAGAAATAACTAATACCTTCAGTGAACGTATCAGGATTTAATTTGGTGCAGACAAGTGTGCAATCATGCATGTAAAAAAAGAGGTAGAGCCTGGAATCTGATAGGTTGGAACTCTCAGATTCCAGGCACTTTAGGTGTCTCTCAGCTAACGAAACTCACAAATATCTGCGTATGTCACAGTCGTTAGGTGTAAATGAGTTGACTATGAAACAATCGTTACAGGAACGCTTCTTTAGCCGCCTGAAAAAAGTATTAAATAGTCTTTTGTCAGGTGGTAATAAGGTGAGAGCCTATAATGATTGGGTCACACCAGTTCTAACCTACTCTTTTGGCATACTTATATGGACTCAGACTGAACTAGATACCCTGGATAGAAGAGTTTGTACATTGCTTACTGCATCATCCACGTTCATCGGTGATGAGGTTATATATTCCACGAAAATGTGGTGGTCGTGGTTTTCTAAATGCCTCCACAATCGTGGAATGTGTAATCTCAGGAATTACTTCCTTTCTGTTAATGTGGACATGCGTAGGGATGTAGTAGCAGTTGATAACGGACTCACTCCGCTTGGTCTAGGTAAAGAGAACTGGTGAAAATTCGCAGTACTCAAGATTACTGATCGTATGGAGATATGGAAGGGCAAAGAGCCGCATGGACGTTTTTATCGGGCCTTGAACAGGCCTGAGGTAGACCAACTGGCGTTTCTCCAAAGAGATTACCGAATCGTAGTCAGAATATAGGCTATGATTCTGTAATCTCTTTGGAGAAACTGAAGGTTTTGTCTTTGCAATTACTTATGAAGTTGTTATGACGAATAATTATATATCATTAAGAACGGCACAATAGACATTTGTCGGGCATGTCATTGTTCCGGTGAAAGCCTCAGACATATAATTGTTGTTCCGATTGTTCTCGTCTTACAAACGGCGAGCACTTGCATAGACATAACCAGGTGGCCAGGATAGTCCATCAGCAACTTGCTCTTAAGAGTAACCTTGTGACTGTAGAGTGACCGTAGTACAAATATGTGCCCGACCCAGTTCTTGAAAATGGTCGTGCAACGTTGTACTGGGATCGTCCTATTAGGTCCAGAAGGCGATAACTACCTGGACCCCTCCTAAACTGGAAGCGCAAAGAGGGCACACCGTGTGGTTTTAGTCGGTTCGAGTCCGACACACCGCCCCGCCGAACGAGAGCCCCGGCGGGGTGACGGTCCGAGGGGATTTCCACACGTAAAAAAAAAACAAAAAGGGATCGTCCTATTATCTCTGACAGGACTATTGTTGCCAATAAACCTGATATAGTGGTAATAGACTATATGTAGAATGATTGTTGACATTACCATTCCACATTGCGACAATCTCTTGAAAGCTGAAAAAGAAAAACAAGTAAAGTATTTGGATTTGGACCACAAGATTGTCGAAATGTGGGATGTTGATTCGGCAATCATTGCACCGATAGTTATATCGGCCCATGGATTAATTGCTAAGAGCCTCGACCAACAAGTTCAGAGGCTCGCGTTAGGCAGTTGGATTAAGGGCCTCATGCAGAAAGCAGTTCTTATCGATACGGCACGTCTTGTGAGGACGTTTCTGTCTCTGGGGTCCTAACCACCGCTATCTTGGTTTTTTATATTGGAACGAAGTTCCTTATCGCGCTTTGTGAAAGGGGGCTAGACGGAAAAAAATCGTACGAAAATTTGTCACGACACTTTTTAATATAAATTGACGTCTAACTGTGGATACCATACATTAAATTTGCTTTAACGTTCGCCAACGTCCATACCATGTTGAATACACCGGTTCTCGTCCGATCACCGAAGTTAAGCAACATCGGGCGTGGTTAGTACTTGGATGGGTGACCGCCTGGGAATACCACGTGATGTTGGCTTTTTGCTCTTTATTTTCGTGTCATCTTGTCAGACATTCAGCGCCATCTATCGAATAGATAGTAAATCATTTCGCAAGGAGATTTCACCAATGTATAAATTGTTTTAATTGTCTTTAATATGTAGGTAATAGCCGCTTTCATAAATGGCGTTGTAATTAAAATCGTGTCTAATCAGTTTTACTCGATCGTCACAACTTCGTTCCTATCGGGTGTCCCACGACACCACACGGCTTTTTTTTTTCAAATGTATTTTTTTGTACATAAAAATATTTAAAAATGCAATTTATATGTATATTTTATGTAGTAAAGAGAATAACGATAATTTATTTACCAGAAATACAGATATAAAAAGATTTCTTAGTAAAACTTTCTTGTAGTATCTTTTAAAAGGAATATGCCGCACTAAAGAAAATCATATTAAATGTTAAATGTCATATAGTTAATGTTTAAACACAATTTTTATTTTTAAATAATCTGCTATAAAGTTTAAAATTATGAGATATTATTATAAGGATCAAGAACTTAAATTTAATGCCAGTTTGCACATAGGTATTGTGTAATCGCAGTAATTACACAGTTCGATGACCTTCGAAAATTGCGCCTTTACAGTTGCACGTAGTTAGTACATAGTTGGTACACTGTACTGAGTAGCAACGTGGCTTGATACAATATTTTGGTATCGGCGCTATCATCATCATCATCATCATCATCAGCCTTTACTAGTCCACTGCTGGACATAGGCCTCTCCTTAGAAAGGAGGTTTTGGCCTACTATACCGCGCTGGCCAGACGGGTTGGTATAGGATTTGTGTCAAGTTTTCCTTCTCTCTGCAGTGCTGTTGTCCTGCGTAGTTTGCTCCCTTAGTCGGCTCTTACGACACCCACGGGATGAATAGGGGTGGTGACACTCTGTATTCTTAATCCGTCGCTACACGAACGGAGTATCGGCGCTATACCTATCATTTAATTTATCTTTGTTACTAATCTTTTCTCAATATTAGAAAAAGTTTTTTTTTTTTTATATTTTTATATTACATAGTAGGGGAGAGTGGGGGAATCACGGACGCGGGGTAATCGCGGATACGTTCGTTTGGCTATGTTAGAAAAGGATTGAAGATATTCCGAGTAATGCAATCGTGAGTCGATCCCGAACCTAGTGCCGAACAAAGAGTTGTGAAGCAACAACGCACTCGGTGTAAAAGGTATGTTAACTTTTTGTTTTTTCAACAATTTCATATAATTTTCGAGTAAAATTGAATAGATATATAATATTTTAGGTGTAACATAGAAATTCGGTATTTTTTTTATGAATTAACGTCCTAATTCAAGAATGTTTCTAAGGACTTGCCGCGTGTATCACGCGATTCTAACCTAAAAAAAAAAAATAGTTTTGTGATAACGTGTCTGTTGGGTAATTACGGACGATTTCAGTGGGGTAACCCCGACCGTTCGTAATTACCCCTGAACAATTAAATTATTGTCTTTTATTTTATAATTTATGTCCAGCAGTCGACTGCATTGCGTTGATGATAATAATGATGAATTTTGATGAAATACATTTGAGGAAGTTTGCTTTTATGTTTCTCTGCTTTCAGCACTGTACCTACACGAGCTTATTTATACCTACTTAAATATGTTTCAGATGCCACGAAATTACCAAAGAAAGACGCAGACCAAATACAAATTAGAAGACTTAGAAAGAGCCATTCGGGGTGTTAAGAACAAAAAACTTTCACTAGGAAAAGCAGCTGCTCCTTATTCTATTCCAAAAAGTACTATATACGACCATCTCAAAAAGGAAGTTACAAAAGAACCAAAAACTGGAAGGAAGGCTGTATTTTCTGAAGAACAGGAAAAAGAATTAGAAGAACATATCATAAAATGCAGTAAGCTATTTCATGGTTTGACCATAGAAATGGTCCGGAAAATAGCTTTTAAATTTGCCGAAGTAAATCACTTAAAGCACAATTAAAAAGTATTGGTTCTACGGGTTTAAGAAAAGACATCCTAATATTTCGCTACGTAATCCTGAGTCCACGTCTATCAATGGAATTACAGCTTTTAATGAAACAGAACTGAAAATGTTCTTCGACAATTTGGAAGCTTTGCAAGCAAAAATAAGGAGTACATGAAAGGAAGGGAAAAGGCTGCTAGTTCCACTAAAGGTTCCAAGAAGGGTGTGAAGAATCGTCAAGCATTTGCAGACACTGATATTAAGATAAAGGTTCAAGAAAAGGACGTACCGCGTAAGAAAAAGAAAACCAAAGAAAGAGATGCGAAAGAAAATGAGTATTTTTGCTTAGTTTGTGATGAAAAATATAAAGATCCTCCACATGAAGATTGGATAAAATGCTACAAATGTAATTTATGGGCCCATGAAAAGTGTACGAGTGGTGAAAGTACATCAAAAGGATTTATATGTGATATGTGTGATGATTAGATTATGTCCGTGATTACCCCACACACCATTCGTAATTACCCCACGTGTTGTGGGGTAATCCCGAACCCCATAGTTTTGTTTTCTTATTAATATTCGTTTCTGTATTGAAAGTTTATCTATGTTGCTCATCAGAACTTAAGGTTCATTAGTTAAAGTAAATGTTAAGTAATAAATGACATTCGTAACTTAATCTGGTTTTGTTTAATTTCAATTTCCCCTTAAGTGTTCGTAATTACCCCACTCTCCCCTACATTATTTTGGTCTATCTTGTCACGATTAGCCAGCGTTTGCAATGTAAGCGCTCAAAACCATATTTTTAAGACAAATCTTTGAAATTCTCGGATTTTGTCTACTATAATATGCATGTATTATAGATACAAACCTTCCTCATAAATCACTCTATCTATTGGTGAAAACTGAATTAAATTCCGTTGGTTAGTTTAAAAGATCTAAGCTTACAACACAAAAAAGCGACTTTATTTTATACTCTGCAAAGATAGCAACATTTATGTAAATCGTACATCGAACAGATTTCCATATTTTTTTTGTAAATCTGTTCTATCTATTAGTAAAATTTTGGAAAAAAACAATCTTCGAGACAGACTCGAAGAGTTTTTTCTTTAATTTAAGCATTATCATGGAAAGTAAACGAAAAACCCGCATACCCTGAATATATACAGCCTTTGGAGATATCGTAGTAACATAAATGTATAATACCTACCTACCTATAGCTATTAAAGTCAGCAAGTTAATGCAAAAAACTTCATACCTATTTTGAAGGAATTTAAAATGATTTGGAAATTAAATAAAAAACATAAAGATTGTAATGGGTGATAAATAAACGGGTAGCATATCTCTAGATTAAACAAATTAACTAATTACGTTTCGTATTTTTATCTATACACGTTTCAAATATTGATACGATGCGAACATCGATACCTAAATTTTATATCGCAATCGAAATAACAGCTGTAGAAACATACACGTGTTTTAAATCAAGATACAATTTCTTATTATCAGAACTTTTAGCAATGTTTAGCTTTATGTAATGTACAAATATTAACTTTTCATTTCTTACTACAGCAAATAATAATTCATCATCATCATCATCAGCTTATCTCAGTCCACTGCTGGATATAGGCCTCTCCCATTGCACGCCACTTAGATCGATTTTGGGTTTGTCGCATCCAGCTCCTGTCAGCCATCTTGCGCAAATCGTCACTCCACCTGGTCTGTGGAAAAATAATTAATTGTGTATCCACCGTAAAAAAATATTAATTAATCATAAAAAGAAAGTAATAAAATACTTATAAAAAACATTGTTAGGACACAGATGTCACAGATTACAGCGTCTTATTTTAAACGTTTTGAATAACCTTTTTTAGGGTTCCGTATCCAAAATGGCAAAAAACGGAACCCTTATAATTTCGTCATATCCGTCCGTCCGTCTATCCGTTCGTCCGTCTGTCTGTCCACCCTATATCTCACAGACTATTAGTGCTAGAAACTTGCAACTTCGCATGAACACACATACTAATCACGCCGTTAAAGTGGTAAATTAAAATACTAAACAAATTTTTTTTTAGGTTACCTCTAGTGCTATTAGTACCCGAGACGGCGTGCGGTTTTAGTCGGTTCGAGTCCGACATGCCACCGAAAGGTGGTATCCGAGGGGATTCCGGCACGGAAAAAAAAGAAAAGGGCACCTCTAGTACCTTTAAAGTGCGGATGTAACCATCCATCCCATGATGTGGGCTGTCATTGGATTTGCTTTTTAAAAATAATAATGTTTTGTGAATTTTGATTAAGGTATCCGTTTGTGAGATATTAAGCCTTAAAGCGCTGACTTTTGTTACAGTCCAGTGTCTCCCGGTGTATAGCCGTTGGTACCATAGTCAAAATATATACTGGCTCCCTATAGCATAATATCATTTTTAAGTTTAAAATGCGTATTGTTTAAAAGATTTTGTTTTTTACACTTCTTCCACAAATAAACATTAAGTATTGAAATATGATGTGCTTTGAAAACGGTCACAAACAATTTGCTTCATGTATTCCTAAACTGCAATCTATAGCCATCTGAAATTGGCACACCCAATGAGATTAACGTGAGAGCAAGGTTTGTGAAATATGGATACTTGTTGTTTTGCGTATCGTGACATTTCTGTGAAATGTTACCTTAAATTGCATATGTCTAAATGTAGACACCTCGTATATGTGATCCTTCATTTATTAATTTATTAATAATTTTAATTTATTAATTAAGAAAAAATATCTAAATAAATATTTAAATTTATAAACTAAATAATTTGCATAAAAGAAAAAAGTATACTTCACAGAGGACGATAGAAGCATTTAGTATAGTTGGCAGGGTTATAAAGTATATTAAAAGAAAACACAACAACTAAACTAAATTTTTAATTATTTAAACTTAATGCCACACACATATATTGCTTTTGTGGTTGTTCACGCCGTGGTTGTTAATGTCGGCGCGTAGAGGTGAAGGTGGGGCGATCGCATAACCAGCGAGTAACCGGTTTAAACTCCTTCCACCGCACCACCATTAAGACACGGCGTGAACAGTGGTAATTGTATAACAATGTTATCAAAGAATGCTTAGTTTCACCGATAGGAAGTGATGCGCCCCTTCACAAAGCTGTCTCGAGCAAAAGTGTTCGTTGCTCTGGCGTGAGCTATAACATTTGACAGTTCTAGAGGCGACAGTGGATAATCCCGGTCACTTCTCATTTCAAAAATAGAGCTTGCCATCTTATAATATTATATTTCATCTCATTTAGAAAATTAATCAATCAGTGGCTTTTCTATTCTTTTTCCAGCTCTCCAAGAGCCTGAAAATGACTACTTCTTCTTTCGTCACGATATTAGTTCCCGTATCGTTGGCGGAACCCCAGCAGCTCCTGGAAGTCACCCTCACATGGTAGCTTTAACCAGTGGCTTCCTGATCAGAACATTCATCTGTGGAGGATCTCTTATCTCGCAACGCACTGTCTTGACTGCCGCTCATTGTATTCGCAACCCCAGCACAGGCGGTGTTATCAGAGACAAGTAAGTAACCGCTTATATCCGAAGGCCTCCTACTCCTGAAAATTGTTTTTTGGTACCTCCAAAAGGTAGGTTCTCCCGCACAGTTTAAGGGCTTCGAGGGTTCCGGCAAAAGGGTGTATGAAAGAATACTGTGTGATCGGGAGACGGCCTTATGGGGTTTCCAAAAAAAAATGGTTAGATGATTACACCTGGCGGAGCGCAACCCAAGAGATTATATTGAAATGGGGTCGGTATATAAAAATAGGTGCAAGAACTTTTGTTGTGGGATAAAGAGCGAGTAGTTACTCCTTAGTTCCGATTGTCTCCGCTAGATGGCGCTGAAATATGTATCTCTGTATTTACAACGCGATGTGTCTTGGAAGACTAATTTAATTGTCATGACAAGACCATTATTGAAACTATAGAGCTGTTCTGATGATGTGTCAAAGGTGGATCTAGGACTTATTAGTGGCTACTATAAACATTTCGAAGATTAGGGTCTTATGGGTTATTTTGATGAGATTTAAACATACACTTGGTGTAGAAGGTCTACTGCTGGGCTAGAAAGTGGTCGGTGTTACGTTAAGTGAGGTTTTTTTAACCATAAAACAAATTGTGTAAACAGTAACCTACGTGTAACCGTCGGCACCAACGCCTGGAGATACGGCGGTTCGCAGCACCGCGTATCTCGCCTGGTGATGCACCCTGCCTACCACCACCCAACTATTAAGAATGACATCGCTGTTGTCACCACCAGCACTGTTGTTGCTGTGAACAACAACGTGCGACCTGTAGCCCTGTCATTCGATCACGTTGGCAGCAATGTTCCTGTCCGTGTTGCTGGCTGGGGCGCGCAGAGAGTAAGTCTAACATAGATTTTTGTTTAAAACATGTTTAAATATAAATATCGAGGCAGAGCCAGCTATCTCAGAACAAAGCTAATTGCCATATTGCCTAGCAGTTCTGACGATGGCAGTATGGCGACACCGAAATGGTTCAGCTCCCTTAATAATGTGTATGACGATGTCTGATGCGTGCAGGTCCTGTCTTTTACGTACTACTTTAAATTAAGCGGCTGTTTGTATTTAAGAAGAAATAGAAGCAAAGAAAATTGTAAATAAAACATGTCAAACAAGACTACCCTTTTCCTTTCTTGTCTGATCTTTTCTATGGGACCTTAGTATTGGAACAGGCGACTAGCCTCACGACTGTCTTACTTTGACTGACTACCACTACTACTGTCAATGTAAGATGTAAGAATACTTCGCATATCCCAGCCAAGGCCTCTTATGGTCAAATTTAAATACATGATTTTTAAAGTTCGATTGTATGAATGAATGATCTCAAACAGGAATATATACCTACTTATAATTTGTCATTCTGGATTCCAGAGGGGTGGTTCTGTTTCTTACAGTCTTCAAGAAGTGAACCTCTCCACCCTCGACAGTCAAGAGTGCGTGAGAATTATAAGACAGGCGGCTCTTGAGGCCGGTTATAATTTACACTCAGACCCCAGAGTCGAGATCTGTACCCTACGTGGTGTTGGACTCGGTACTTGTAACGTAAGTAACTATAAACTTAACGAGAAATTTACAGAAAAAAAATTACAATTTATTTCCCTATTTATTCATTAAGTTAGGAAAACCAACAGTTACAAAAAATAACAATGAGCTTTCTTATACAACAGCAAGCAACATAAATTAACAAAGCTTTTGGGAACATTTAACACGAAAGCAAACCTATACAAAGGCGACAAATACACTGATAGGAGAAGAAAAATACATGTACTGTGTACTATCTGTTTATAATAATAATAAATTTTATTGTAACAAATGATACATACAATTCAAGTGCAAGCCCTGATTCCCAAACTAGCGTGAGCTGTATATCGGGGATCAGTTCCTTCCCAAAGACATGATACAATAAGTTATTACAATAATCACGTGGAACATACAAAGAAACATTTTGCGTGTGCGCGCGTGTGTGTGTGAGTGTGTATGTGAGTGTGCGTGTGAGTGTGAGTGTGCGTGTGTGTGTGCCTGTGCGTGTGCGTGTGCTCGTGCATGTGCGCGTGTGTGTGTGTGTGTATGTATTTGTGTGTTTGTGTATGTGCATTGAAACCTGAACTACGTTCTTACCAGCAATAAGCTTTCTACATCATCGTAGGCCAAACTGTTAAGCCATATTTTAATTATGTTTTTAATTTGGTAGTTCGATAAGTGTCTGGTTTTAAAAAAAAAGGTTTATTAGTTTCCAGACAGTGTTGCTATTCACTGTGTTTGGATCAAACTAAATTTCTTTGCACATATCATTGAAATATTTACTAACTCGCTCAATTGGAACGAAACAAAAACAAACAAAACTGCAAGTGCATGTAAATAATACAGGTCAGCTAACAATTTACAATTTAGTTCATAGAATTACTAGCTTCTACATGCGGCTTCGTTTGCGATAGCTTACATTTGTCAATCAATTTTTCCTTGATCAAAAGTGTGTCCTATAATCAGAAATGTTATTGTTGTAATAACATTATAAACTTGAAAGTAGATGGATGTACGGATGTTTTTTACTCAATCATATCCAGAAATTCTCAGGTCCGTGTAGTGACGGATTAAGAATACAGAATGTCACTACCCCAATTCATCCCGTGGGTGTCGTAAAAGCCGACTAAGGGAGCAAAATAACGCAGGACACCAGCACTGCTAAAAAGAAGGAAAACTTGACACAAACCCTATACCAACCCGTCTGGCCAGCGTGGTATAGTAGGCCAAAACCTCCTTTCTAAGGAGAGGCCTATGTCCAGCAGTGGACTATTAAAGGCTGTTGATGTGATGTGATATCCAGAAAATCTGATATGATTTATTACAGAGATAGATTATATACTGATTAGCACATAGGACACACTTTCTGTACTTTTCAATATTACTATATTGTCTGGCTGACAGCATACTAAAATAATAATGTGAATAGTTTATCTGTTCTTAAGGTTACATGTACCCTATAGTGGATGACCCTTAAGGCATATGGTTCAACCTTACAAAGACAGACACATTTTTATTAGCTTTTAATGTGTATTTTAATTAGTATGTACTATGTATGTGGTGTATAGAGCACGCCAATATATAACCATGTACGAGTATTCATTTTAGTCAGAATGTAAACCGGTGACAATAAACACGTATTCTCAAGACACATCTATTTCGTATAGTCCGAACCGTACATGGTTATATATTGGCGTGCTCTAACCACCACAACCTCAAGAAGGATAGTTTAAGGACAATAACAGTTTTAACTGTAAGAGTCCAAAATTATTTACCAATAATACTATCGATAGTATGCGACCGCAGTCCTTGAGGACTCAGGTTCTATTCCCGGACCGGGCAAAGTTTTAAAGGGTATTTTTGAGACGAAAAATAGCCTAAGTTACTCCTTATGTAGACAGCTACTTTGCAGTAAAATATTATCAAAATCAGTCCAACAGTTTTGAAGATTTCCCGGAACAAATAGACACAGACAAAAAATATTTAAACTGGTTTTTAGGCAAAGGCAAAAAACCTATTACATTACAGACAACTTCATTTTTTTTTATTTGTATAGATATGTATGTATTTAGAAATATATTTATTTATTTATTAGGTTAACTCACAGCACATATATGTAACATTGATGGTAAAATCTCAGTAATAAGGTTCTGAAATACATGCCACTTACGAGCTAACACAGCATTCACAGTTTAGACAACATATTAACAAAATCAACAAATAACATATTATCAAAATATAAGTATGTTTATCAGCAGTCTGGACAGCCTATGCCTAGTTTGGGATCAGACTGCCGCATGCCGTGTGTGAGATGTGTCCATTTATTATTATTATATTACTTCATTATTGTCAACATCTTGGACTGTTTCCAGTTATCTAATTACTCTTTTTTTTGTTTAGGGTGACTCCGGATCTGCCTTGAACCGTATAGACAATGGTCGACAGATCGGAATCGTGTCCTGGGGCTTCCCATGCGCTCGTGGTGTACCTGACTCGTTTGTGCGTATCAGCGCCTTCAGGGAATTTATCCAGGCTAACCTTGTCTTATAAAAGGAACATGTGATGATTAAATTATTTTTATGTAATTTAATGAGTTTTATTTTCCGAATGGATTGTATGCGCCATATTTAGGTTTAAATAGGAAAGCAAGTAAAAAAAAGTAATTGAGTTTATCGATATGAGTCCAAGTATTTATTTATTGTGTTTTTATGGCTTGCCGACATATGATACGGGAACACCCAAATTCTACGAAATATTGTATTCCGAAATTCGATGTTCCGATTATCAAAAGTCTGTATTTTATAATACTTAAGAATTATAATATCTATTATTAAAATTCACGAAATTTATTTTTGGAAAGTCTTAAGTCCGATTGGTTTGTTTTCGATTTTTATGCATTCGAGTAATTACATGCTCAATGAGTTTTCGGTCCGATAAACGACATGCCGTGTTACTACGAATAAATTGCTAAAATTAGGATTTCGATTCAGTAAGTATTGGTATTGGTTGTGGGCTCCGATTTCCGCATTTAGACTCAAGGGTGGTCCTTTATGCGTCTAGAAGAGGTTGGATAGGTGAGCCAATCAAGCTCCTTTCAGAAGCGCAGAGGCATCCTGGGGCGTTCACAGGCTTCTATGAGCGATTTTGTACCAGGTATGGTACTTGCCCGTTGTGAGGCCACGCATTCCAGGATTACGTTGGCGGCCGTTTCTTCTGCTTTTAGGCATCCTCTGCAGAGAGGACTGTCCGTCGCATTAATGATGAATAGTTATCCGTTCAGGGCTAGATGTCCTGTAATGGTGCCTGCAACTATTCGGATATCTAGTCTGCTAAGACCGATCAGCCTGCAAGTAAGTCTTGGTGAGACTTCAGTCAGCACCAGTTTGGACTGTCTGCAGCCGGGTGCATTTTTCGACCTTCGGTTGTGCGTTTCACAAGTACCGGCTACCGTTGTGGTTGGGCCGGCGGCCGGGGTTGCCGAGCCCCTTCTTGCCAACTCATCTGCAGCGTCATTCCCGTGTGAATTACTATGCCCTTTAATCCATTGGAGGAGCAGCCCATTTGTTGTGGCGAGCTGCTCAGATGCTTGATGGCATTCGAAGTCTATACCAAAGGTCATTGTGTTGCCCTCCAGTGCCTTAAGGACGGCCATGCTATCTGACAGTATACGCATGTTGTAGTCCTTAATACCACATCGGCGTTGGTGGCGGCGTAAGTTATTGCCACACATTCTCATTGGTATACTGTGTTGGTCTAATGCTAGTGATATGTTCATGTTTAGGTCTTGTGAGAAAACTCCGGTTCCAGTTCCTGACCCAGTCTTGGAACCGTCCGTGTCAATTCAGACTTCGTTATTGCCAGATTGATCTCGGTCATTTTCTTGTGTCAGAATGTGATATCTCCTTGTGATTCAGTTGGTTATAACAATATTCAGTATATTCAGTAATATTCAGTATAAGTAACGTTTAATGGTATTTCAAAATGTTAGCTTTGTTATTAATATTTGCGTATTTTTTTTGGGGTTTTCTTCATCTTTTATATGCCTCCGTCGGATAACATCTACTCTTATTGAACTCTTTTGATTATGATAGAACTGTAACCAGCGGAAGAAATTACTTTTATTCAAAAGTAAACTATAAAAAGTAAACAAATTATTGTATTGAGACTCGTTATTTTGAGCATAGTAATAGGCTTGTGTCCACTAATAACAAATTGCTTGGTCTATAGCTTCAAATTATAAATGAAAAGACATAGATAAGAAAAAACCAGTCTATTTCTCATTAAAGTTAAAGATTATTAATATTTAAAAAAAAAAATGCGACTAAATATGCATCAAGTCACGTGACAGCGAACACCAATCAGAAAGTGTTACGTCACGCCACGCAAAACATCATTGTTGTTGTTGACGTTTTCATACAACAGAGCAGGTTACTCCTTATTGTTTTTCGTTTTTAGCATATTTTTTCACCTTAATACAGTTTCAGTTGACACTGGACACAGATGTAAACAGTTTTGTTTCGCAGACTATGACGTCATTCAAGACGCCATGACACTATTCAGCGTTTTCAAGGGAAATGTAAAATGTTTTTTTTAAATACACAATACTTAATGTAAATATTGCTTTTTCTTTAAAATATAGGTTTTTTGATATAAAATAGATATTCATCATCAGCCTGTCGCAGTCCACTGCTGGACATAGGCCTCTCCCATTGCCCGCCACTTAGATCGATTTTGGGCTTAGATAGATATTAAAGTATATAAATAACCAAGTTTTTAAATTAAGTCAACTAGCCTATTATGAACGTTTTATAAAACGAACGGAATATTAAAATTTTTGAATTATAAAATAGATGAATAATCGGAGTTGTTTTATTAGGAATTTTGAACCATTCGGAATTATGAAAATCGGTATTTTGAAATCGGTAATTTGTGACTGATGGAATAAAGTTTTTCGTGTTTCTGTAGTGTACCCATATGATACACATAACTATCATAGCTCATTTAATGACTTGACTGACTCGGTGGTACAGTGGTAGCGTATGCGACTGCTGTGCTGAGATCGCGGTTTCAATTCCTGGGTCGGACCAAAATTTCTATGATTACCAAATATTTGTTTCAGAGTTTGGGTGTTTACTTATAATATGTATGTACTCGTATTTACAAAAAAAAAGTATAAAAGTATTGTATCAGTCAATCTAGCTATCATAGCACAAGCTCTGTTTAGTTTGAAACCAGGTGGCGTTGTGCGTCAGTTGTTCGAAAATATTATTAAATATATTTTGCCCTATGAGAAGATGCAATGAACTAATAAATATTAGGTTTTTAAAATAATTATGATTATAAGTTTCATTAAAATCCGTGATCGTAATATCTGTTCTAGATAAGATTCTGTCTGTCTGTCTATTTAAACCAACTAATACGTGTTTCGATTATGATAACAATGCGTATAAGCAGTTTTCAATACGTCAATTTTAATGTTATCGACATCAAGCTTTTAAAATTTGATTGATTTGACATCTTTATCTTGTTATTTACGAGAATTTTAAGCCTATACGACACCTAAGTTTTATTTGTCAATTGATTTTCTTTTTTGTTTTGAGTATTGTTAATAATTGTTCGTGTGGTGATGGATTAAGAATACGGAGTTTCATCACCCCTATTCACCCCGTGGGTGTCTTAAAAGCTGTCTAAGGGAATATTTATACAGGACAACAGCACTTCAAAGAGAATTAAAACTTGAAACAAAGCTATACCAACCCGTCTGGCCATCGTGGTATAGTAGGCCAATGCCTTCCTTCTAAGAAGAGGCCTATGCCCAGCAGACTACTATTAATGACTGTCGATGATGATGATGATTGTTAATAACTTAAGTAGGTAATTAAAGAAAGAAACAAATAGTAAAAATATCTTCAGAACCTTATATTATCCTAAGGTTTATTTTTAATATGTACGTAATTATATCTAGGTATATATGTATATGTATAGTCTTTATCCAGAAAAATGTTCTTGCGGGACGGGAAAACTACTTATGTACAGCCGGGAAAAGACAAGACATGCATAGAATTACTTATGCTGAGCGAAAATCGAACTTATGAATCGCAGCGTGGTAGTTGATTGCACAATGCCAATTGTTTATTAATTTCGGTACTTTACAAATACATTTAAGGCGTATGGTTAAGTCACCTTTCCAGTAAAAGTTCACCGATTATCCAGTGACTCCCTTCGCAAATTCCAATAGGTAAACTGTAATCTTTCAAAACTATCTGTGATATTCGTCTTTAAAAACAATTTGTTTATCTAAGAATTAGATTATTAGTTTCAATCTAGGCTGAACATGAAGACACATAACGAACATTACTCAAAATTTAAAACTATGCTGTGTATGCACATATTGCATATAGGTACATGCGCAAGCGTCACGCTCCTGATTGATAGTCCATCGCTGAAGGAATGATTTCTCAAGACCTGAAAGACGCGACACAGCCACTTTGTATAAAGTCAAAAAAGATAAAATCGACTGTAATAATTACAGAGGAAGGCTTTTATTAATTAAAGGCGATATTCTACTCAGCACTGCTTGTTATTAATCATCTGCATCGTCGGAGTTTTTGTTGAGTTGCGCATAGATCAAAACTGCTCGAGAATTTATTTATGCACATCATGCTATGTTATTGGTAGTGGGTTCCAATTTCCCCATCTTGACTCAAACATGGTCCCGGACGCACCGTTATAATAGGCATGGTTAACTAGGTGAGGCCACCGAGCTCCTTCAAAAAGCACAGTAGCCTCCTGGAGCGATCACATGCGTCTAGGAGCTATTTCGTATTCCAGGATTAGATGGGTGACCGTTTCTTTTACCTGGAGACATCCTCTACAAAGGGAAAAGTCTATGCCATTTATGTTGAATACCCCTACTACTATGCCCTTTAAGCCATTGAAGTAGTATACGGTTAGCTGCGGCTAGCTGGTCATATATTTGATGGCATTCGGAGAAAATAACAGAGTTCATAGTTTTGCCCTCGAGTGCTTTTAGGCTGGCTGTGCTATCTGACAATATTCGGAAGTTAAATCCTTTAATGACTATTAAGTTACGACTATTCGACATGGCTATGTCGGTGGTTTAGGTTATTGCCACACATTCGCATTGCTATGTAGTGTCAATTCCACATGGAGCTGTTGAGTCGCGTAAAAAAAAATTAGGCTCCAGTTTCTGACCTCATCTTGAAACAATTTGTATAAATTAGGACTTCGTTTTTGTCAGATTAAACTCGGTAATTTTCGTATGTGATATCTCTTTATAAAGATGTGTTTTCGTTTTTATTTTTTTATTTTTTTTAGCCGACTAAGGGCGCAAAACAGCGCAGGTCACCAGCACTGCAAAAAGAAGGAAAACTTGACACAAACCCCATACCAACCCGCCTGGCCAGCGTGGTGTAGTAGGCCAAAACCTCCTTTCTAAGGAGAGGCCTGTGTCCAGCAGTGGACTATTAAAGGCTGATGATGTGATTGCACGGGGCTGCTAATTTCGGTTGTTATTCCACTAATTAGTCCCATAATTTAGAGTGCGGACGTGAGTGTATCACAAACTCAGGCGTCAAAGTCTTATAGAAGCCATAGATGCCTCCTGCTATATGACCACGTCCAGTAGAGTCAGACCAAGTTCTAAATTTCCTGCAATTTTAAACAGCGAAGCTAAAGTGTTATTAATATTTTAATTATTTATAATCATCATTCATATATGAGTGATGACAAGGGCGTATTGTTTTGGGTTTTTCCTTATTTCAGGAAGTTATTGAATCAATGTAAGTACAAAGTCACTGCGACTTATTATTTACACAAGATAAGATTTTTGTTTATCTTAAAACATCGATTATCCGAATTAATGATTTGGCTTCTATCCTATATATATACGCAAGTACAACAATAATAAACAGTCAGTATTTTTGGGCGTTTCTTAAAATGGACTACAAAACAGGACTTTTGTTAGTTACCTTATTGGTGGGGTGCTTTGGTAAGGACATACAACATATTGTTTTACAAACATAAACGAAATCTTTTTCATTATGAAATCAAACTCACTTGTACTTTTATTCGACTATTTTAATTGACCTGACCGGTTTCACCTTATGGCATTATCAAAGGCCGTGAATTTGATTTGAAAATGTATTTCAACAAGTTCCACCAAGTGTAGAAATTATTTTCTATAAAATCTCCTAGTTGTATTTTTTACATCACAATTATTTCTGTTAACCACTTTAGCTAAGCTATATTATTGAGTGGCTGGATCCAGTAACAACATGAAGCCACCGCCTGCCGCTTAAAATAAAATAAATAATTGATCCTATACATGGAAAATCATTAAATAACAACATTAAATTTCTCTTTTTGCAGCTCTCCCAACGCCCGAAAATGGCTCCCTCTTCCGCGTGGATCCCCGCATCGTGGGTGGAACTGTTGCGGCACCTGGAAGTCACCCCCACATGGCAGCTTTGACTAGGGGATTACTGATCAGATCATTCGTATGTGGAGGGTCCATTATTTCCCCTCGGACTATCTTGACTGCCGCCCATTGTATCATCAACAACATAGACAGAAACGGAGGTATCACCGGGTAAGTAATCACTTATATTTCGAATTTCGCATTACTTAGAATTTAACTGCCCGCGTGGTGACGGATTAAGAATTCGGAGTGTCACCACCCCTATTCATCCCGTGGGTGTCGTAAGAGCCAACGAAGGGAGCAAACGACGCAGGATAACAGCATTGCAAAGAGAAGGAAAACTTGACACAAATCCTATACCAACCCGCCTGGCCAGCATGGTATAGAAGGTCAAAACCTCTTTTCTAAGAAGAGGTCTATGTCCAACAGTGGACTATTAAAGGCTGTTGAAAAAATCCTGGAGCCTTTAGATTTCCTGAATCCGACCCGACCGATGTTTATTTACTTTCTTAGTAATGCTACTTCTTATTTATTACTATTATTGCTACTGATGTGTTCTATAAACTACTTTTATCCAGTTTACAAGCTTTTACACGTAAAAAAGGTAGCTTGTTTCCTCTATATTCTACAAAACAAAAATCAATTGCAGTTTTGTAACTAAAATTGAAAAATTATTATACTCGTAGCAGACCAAACAAAATATTTTTTTTGTTTGGTCTGCTATGAGTTTCTTTTTATCCGTTACAAAACTTAAGGTATCTAAGTAAATATTGAGACTCGATATATTTATACAGTACACAGCATTTTATATCGATGAAAAAATAAATAATAAAAGTGTTAATAATTAATAAATACTCGCAAGTTAGACGACTGTCCACTGCTTGGTTTGACTTGTATTAAATATAATTTTACTAAACACTAATACCTCTGGCACTTACTTTTTTTAAATAAATAACGTCTTGTTAAGAAGAAGAGTATAAAACAAATGAATACCTAAAATTTTAAAAAAGAATTCCAAAGAAAACCAAAAAAATTCTTAGTATTTTAAGATAATAACTTACAAATTAATAAAATAAGAAGCAAAGGCATCTACTCAATTTCATAAATATTAAACAGAAGTTTTGTCTTTAAATAGTAACATGCGAGTGACTGTCGGCACCAACCGCTGGAACAGGGGAGGTACAGAGCTCCACCTAACCAGGGGTGTTATGCACCCCGAATACAATCACAACACTATCAAGAACGACGTAGCTGTTCTCATCGCTTCTATTAATATCCAATATAGCAGCTTGGTCCAGCCTGCGTCACTCTCCTATGCATTTATTAATGAAAATCTGCCTGTTCGTGCTGCTGGATGGGGAGCAGTCAGAGTGAGTGGAATTTGAAAATACATTACACATAATTGTTATGATATGGGGGGCAAACGAGGAGTCAGCTGATGAAAAGTGACTATTATTATTAGTTTACTAGACATGTCCCAAAAACATTTCAGAATAAATAATTGCAATCAGCATTCAGGCAACTTTTGTCAAGATATTTTGAGTGTTAAAAAATAATTCTGTATCTAAAACGGTCCGTGTGGTGACGGATTAAAAAAACAGAGTGCCACCACCCCTATTCAACCCCTTGGGTGTCGTAAGAGCCGACTAAGGGAAGAAAACTACTCAGGACAACAGCAATGCAGAGAGAAGGAAAACTTGACACAAACCCTGTACCGACCCGTCTGGCCAGCGTGCTATAGTAGGCCAAAACCTCCTTTCTAAGGAGAGGCTTATGTCCACTGCTGGACATAAGCCTCTCCTTAAAGGCTTTTGATGTAATATGAAATAATAATTAAAACCCATAATTGGCAATTCATGCTTATAATGCTGTATGTTTAAGTTACCCAATTACTAACATTATTAATGTGTTAGATGGATTGTTATTTAGGAAAGTTATTATTAATAAAATATGACGGTCCACAGTAGAGGAAGCACTACTTCATCTCTTTAGACCCTACCGTAGTGATTCAGCTCGAGAACTAAAAGGATCCTGAACTTAAAAACCCATTACGCAATACACCAAGAAGACTAACTGAATTTAATAGAATTGCAGTTGGAATCGTTGAATAGAACGACAGCCGTAATACATACAATGATTTGTATTCCAGGCTTTTGGTCCCGCCCAAGACGAACTCCTGGAAGTGGATCTCACTAGTCTTACTCCACAACAGTGCGAAGACGATATGAGAACATTCGTTATTCAAAATAACATTCGCTCACCACCTGCTTTAGACACTGGTATCGAGATCTGCACTTTCCATGGACCTGGACTAGGTGTCTGCCAAGTAAGTAGACGTCAGCCATTTTCTACTCTCCTATCTGAAAAACTCATTGAGAATTATGACCCAGAACATTCAATCGCTACCTAGCTGAAACACAGAAGTTTAAGTGTTTAGATGGCTCCGAAATGCTACTATTTAAGTGGGTTATTAGTTTCTTTACGATATTTATACTAGTAGCTAAGTGTACGTAGATTCATTTTCTTTTGAAAGATCACATATATTACTGAAACATAGAATCACTCAGAAAAATACATTACATACAGTTTCGAGGAGCGGAAATCTAAGCCCAGCTTTCCCGTTGCAATTGAATTACTCAACGGCGGCAGGAATTTCTTCATAAAATATCTACACTCTTTCTTACAAGTGCATTTTATTATTTCATCTCTTTCAAAGACCCTAAAGTCACTTATTCAAGAATATAAATGCAAACACATGAAACTTGATACATGTATTTTTTTTGGTATCCAGGCCAACATCAGTTATCTAATTTTTAATTCATTGCTCAGGGTGACTCCGGCTCTGCTCTGCGCCGCATCGACAATGGGGAACAGATCGGTGTAGTCTCCTGGGGCTTCCCGTGTGCTCGTGGCGCTCCTGACGTGTACGCACGTGTCAGCAGTAATGAGGACTTCATCAGGTCTAATACCGTCTAATGGCTAAGAAGAGTTATATTAAGACCTAATTAAATATGATAATTTGAATTTCTTTTTTTTTCACATCAATCTAAAGCAGCATATCTATAAAGAAAAGAAACCATACTGTTTCCCTTTACCGTAATGTTTCCCTTATGAACAAAACCGCAATCCATAAAGTGTGACTTGTACTTTTTTGGAAAAGACAGCATATCTAGACATTGTGAAATCTTTTAGAAGCACTAATCACTGGGCAAAGGCCAGATTTTAGGCTAAAATCACACTAAATCACACTATAATCGTACAGGAGAAGATTATACCAACTTAAAAAAACAGAAGCACTCCGGGAGTGCCGACGGAAGTGAAAACTTGAAAATTTCGAAATTGTTGATGGAAACAAGGTTCCTTTTTTTTCGACTCGTAAAGCTCCAACGAACATATATCTATGTTGTACGTAAATACACAATATATCTTTATATTTCATATAGTTATATTACTAATGTATTTTAACCCAAACTCAACTCTCGTGTAAATGGGGCTAATATATGGAGATACTTATATACAGAGGTGTCGGTAACAGAAACAGTGTCGCGAGTTCAATGTTTTTTTCCCATCTCAACGAATACATTATTTTGTTTGTTGTTCAAAAATGTCCAACGCGCCTACAGAAGTTTTCACTACAAAAAATAATTACTATGATACAAGATGAACATGGTTCTAAAATTGGATTGCATTAAGACTCGTTGATGTCTAAGGACGGTGAGGTAAAGGACGGTAAGGACGGTGAGGTAAAGGACGGTAAGGACGGTTGAGGTAAAGGACGGTGTGGAATGCTCGGATTAGAGGAGTCGTTTATGCACACGGTTTGTTTAGTTTAGCTTAGTGCACAAGATAAAGGGATAACATGCGATTAAAGTTTAGTGTCATATCAATATTTATTATTAATTAGTGTATGTAACTGAAGGCATAATTATCACACGTATTAAACAAATTACATTAATTTGTTGTGATCAATCAATAAATATTCGATTTTTTTTAATCAGCCTCAGTTATACTCGTAATTTGAATTAAGCTATTGCCTTTATTCATAGGAATCCATATCCATTGAACTGATTTTTGTGACATTTTTAAATGAGTTTTATAAAACAATAAATACTAAAATTTTAACCATAAATTCCTATATTCTATTATAATATTCATTCTATAAAAAGCTCAAAATTTTCTGCACATTATGTTTGATTTTGCATAGAATAATAATTATACAAACAACAAAAAAATAAACTTTTCTATTAAACGACTGTAATAAAACGTATGCTACAGTCGCAATATTATATTTTCCAATACATCAATTATACAGCTCAATCTAATAATATATATATTATATTGATAATAACGCCAAAAGCGAAAAGTTTCAGAAGAAAGAGCGGATGGACTGCTTTAGTATTTAAATACTTGTTAATTAACAAATAACACAAAAAAAACAAAACAAAAAACAAAAACACTAAAGGATATTAATTAAAGAGACCACAACATTATCATGCTCATTCATTAAAAAAACTTTAGAACATCTACTACTACTGACTTTGATGAAAAAATAAGTGTTATTTCTGTAAAAAGAGTGAAAAGAAACCAAAGAAAAAATTTAAAAAGTCGATAATACTCAAAATAAATACCTACTTATCCCATTTCCAAATTAAATAAGACATGAAAAAAGTGAATCATCATCATCATCAGCCAATCGTTAATATTTTCGTAATATTCCTAAAAGAAATGTGGATATGCTGGACATATCAGCCCTGTTAGCTAAATATTGTGAAAGTAACACAAAAGAACAAAACAGATCATCCTCAAACTTTCCAAGTTGACAAAAGAGTATACCTGCAAATTTAAACATTGTAGAAAATATTAAGCGGAATACACACATAATTATACTGAAAACGACGTCCCATGTGGGGTTTGAACCCATAACACTCGGCGCAGTAGGAAGCGGCGTCTGACCAATTCCTTTATTTTATGATAGCAATAAGTTAAAAGAGTAATTGGATAACTTACCCTTAAAGTTGGCAAATTCGGCAATATTAAAAAGCTCTTTTCTATGACTTGATTCCTAATTTGTTGAAATTTCAACCGTAAGGCTTAAGCATTTGAGTGATGATTAGGGCGTATCATTTTGGGTCTTTCCTCAAGTCAGAAAGTTATTGAAGCAACGCATGTATCTAGTTACAACGGCTTGTAGTTACAACTGATGAGCTTATTAGCTATCATTATAAATCAATTATCTGAAAAAATGGCTTACCTTCAAACATATATAAATACGCAAGTACACTTACGTAAGTATAGTCTACGGCCTTCGTGCGTTTTCCAAGATGAATTACAAAACAGGATTTCTGTTAATTCCCTTCTTGGTGGGGAGATTTGGTGAGAACACACACACATTTTAACAAACATACGTAAAAAAGATCTATTTATTTTAAGTTTAGGAATTAGTTGCACAGGTCACCTCTCCAGTTAAGCTCAGTAGCTCAGTGATTCCGTTAGAAGTGGGTAATGTAAATACTTTTTGTTATTAAAAAATGTATGCACCCGAGGTGATCCTATTAACCATTACAAATCATGATCTAATGATGAGAAATCGAGGGAACCTTCATATTTAACAGCCCAGACAACGTGCTTTAGCTTGCTTCTCTAGCTATAAAGGTATTTGCGTTTGGTAGTCGTTATCTTATGTTACTGAGCTGATGATGAAGGGTCCTTGACCTTTAGGAGTTAGAGGATAACTCTTTCAATAATACAGTACAGTATTGACCTTGTTTTATTCTGCCAAGATATTTGTTAGATGATCGTGTTGGGTTACAGAGATATGTGCACAAGAAAGTAATAATTGAGATTACAAAACATTTAGACAAAAAAAAAAATTTGGTTACGGAATTATTTTCATGTTTGTTACCCCAGTGGTTAATTTACCACCACTAGGAGTGGTGGGTGGTGGAGTAATAAGGGAAACAATAAATTTTCAGGTTCAAATTTAACTTCTTACTACCTTATCTAAATAAAGTAACGGATTTATTAAACTAAATTTAATATAATCTAACATACTACAGTTTGGTTATATATATTATATATTTCATTATTTATTATTAATATTATTGTACATATTATATAGAAAAATACTTGGTAAAGTTTGCATTAATTTTCACAAAATCGTATATGGTAGGTATATATTTATTTATTTATAACTTTATGCACTTGTGTACAACGGCGGATTTAATGTCCAAGGCATTCTCTACCAGCCAACCTTTGGGGGGTGTAGAAATCGGGTGAGGTAGGTGCACTGAGGTTGCAGTTGCTATAGTAGTTATAACTAACATATACAATTACACACATACACATATACACATATACACATACACTCATGTACACATATACATATATAGATATAAATACACATAAAATACATATACTTTATATTCGTACACTTACCACATATGTGTGGTACACTGTGGCCCTTATGTGGCGAAATATGGCTCTCCCACTGCATATGCACATAAATACTAAAGATATCTGAAAACTCGATTAATGCTAGTACTTTATATTGCCCTACAAATTTAATACATGAATTAATAAGTTAGATTACTATCGAGCAAGTAACCTATGTTAGATAATTACTTGAGAGTATGATATGTAATGACCAAATGTTATGGACATTTAAGTAAAATCTTCACTTTTCAAACAGTAGAACTCGGGCGGTACAGATCACCACTTGAACAGGGGTTTGATGCACCCCAGCTACGACCACCCTACCCTGAAGAATGACGTCGCTCTCCTCTTCACTGCCGCTAATCAACAAAGCTCTCTTGTGCGGCTTGTGTCACTCTCCTTCAACACTGTTGGTGGTGGGGTGCCAGTAATTGCTGCTGGATGGGGCGCGGTTAGGGTGAGTGCATTAGATAACTCGCGAACATCACATACAGACAGATTTAAAACCAGAATCTTTGAGCAGAACTATGATTAAAATGCATATCTATGTTCCGTATTCCAGGCCAACGGTCCTGCACAAACCAATCTCTTGGAAGTACGACTCGCTACTCTCTCTGGACCACAGTGTGAAAACAATTTCAGACAGTTCGCTGCCGCTAACAACATCCGTGAACCTGCTCTAGATAGTCGCATCGAGATCTGCACCTTCCATGCACCTGGACAAGGTGTCTGCCAAGTAAGTAAAAGTTCATCATCATCATCATCAACAGCCTTTACTAGTCCACATAGGCCTCTCCTTAAAAAGAAGGTTTTGGCCTACTATACCACGCTGGCCAGACGGGTTGGTATAGGGTTTGTTTCAAGTTTTCCTTCTCTTTGCAGTGCTGTTGTCTTGCTTAGTTTACTCCCTTAGTCGGCTCTTACGACACCCACGGGATGAATCCGTCACCGCACGGAAGTAAAAGTTAGCAACATATATTGCAGATGATATATTAATATTATTTAGACTGAACATCTGTGAAATTAGCTCCTACTAATTTCGTAGGTGTGGACAGCGCCATTTCGAAGTAGTTCATTTGGTTGACATCAACGACTTGCTTTTAAATGAACAATAAACTATGTGAATATGTTTCACTACGCCAAACGTCAAGCCAGTGAAAACCAATGTGTTGATTAAGGATGTTGAGTTAGACGTTGTGAATACCACGACAATTTTAGGTATAACACTAGATTCTAAGCTACAGTGCGGCCCACGTATTTTTTTTTTTTTTTTTTTCTAATATATCTCACACATCTCACACACGGCCGTCTGGTCCCAAACTAGGCAGAGCCTGTACTATGGTAACCAGACCGCTGATAAACATACTTATATATTTTTAAATACATACATATTATAGATAAATTACACCCAGACACAGAACAAAATGACCGTGCTCATCACACAATATTTGTCCTGGGTGGGAATCGAACCCACGACCTCCGGCTTAGCAGTCAGGGTCACTAACCACTAGACCAACAGGCCCGTCCCGGCCCATATTGATAAATTATCATGTAACTCGGCAGCATACGCAGTAAGAAAAATTAAAGTTGACTGATGTTGATACAGCACGACTTGTTTACTTCAGTTATTTTCATAGCATAATATCGTACGGTATCCTACTGTTGAGGAATGTTATTCAAACTAATTTTGCGCTGTTAAAGAGAGAGTGATTCATAATTTAGGCAATCCTTGTTCATGGATGCAGAAATTTAAAAAAATAAACATAATGACAGTGACATGTCAATATATATATGACAATGTAATATCCATACTAATATTATAAACGCGAAAGTGTGTCTGTCTGTATGTATGTTACCTCTTCACGCTTAAACCGGTGAACCGCAGCAGCAGCGAGCCGCAGGCAAAGCTAGTATCTTCAAAAATCAAAGATATCTTTTCGAAAAGAAGTGATGTACATTGTAAAAATAGAAATAAACTGGTTATACTTGCCTAGCCAAGAGATAATCAAGTCTTTTTGAGATAAGTGTGTCCGATTTTATAAAAAATAGTATACAATACTTTTAAATGTGAACAAATTTAAAAGTCAAAGCAGCTGCCATTGCAGTCTAATTACTTAACCTCTTACCTATTTCACATGAGGACACAGGCATATATTTTTAATGCCAGTGATTTTTGTCATTTTCCAAAATTAAATTCTCGTTTATTCTAGAAATCTAAAGCTACTCAAACGCGAACATACTAAACTTAATTTTACAACAAAATTAAAGGCATGTTAACATTATTAAAACACTTGAAGAAGGTACTGCTCAAGTCATTATTCTTTAATAGGAAGACGTGACGACTTCAGTTATCTAATTGTTAATTCATTGCTCAGGGTGACTCCGGCTCTGCTCTGCGCCGCATCGATAATAGACAACAGATCGGGGTGGTCTCCTGGGGCTTCCCATGTGCTCGTGGTGCTCCTGACGTGTACGCTCGTGTCAGCAGTTTCGAGATCTTCATCACATCCAACACCCTCGGCTAATTACAGGAATATGAAGATCTAATTAAATGTGATATATAAATAATTCGTTCGTAATACTGAGTTTTTTTTAATAACCAAAAGTCTTAAAGAGAATCTTTTTACGCAGAGAGATGATTACTACGGCAATGTTCCTCTAGTAAATAAAACCGCCAAACACCAAGTACGTTCTTTAGTTTTCCCTACAGTAGATTGCACTTAATTGAACTTTAGACAGGGTGCAAGAATCCACTAAGTTGATGGATAGTCTTGTGGAGGAACGGGTGTCATGTCCCTCCAACACAAAGGGAGGATCCTCCGACCAGGCGAGGTGATCATGCCTGGCGGGCTGCGGCCCAACGGTTGATGTTGGGAAGTTGTATATATGCTAATCGGCGAGGGAATTCTTTATATCGCGATACAGGATTAGCAATTCTTATTTTATTAGTTACTCCGTAGTTCGGTGTGTCTTCATTAGATGGCGCTGTAGTATGTTTCTGTTTCTTTGTATGTGGGAGTCGCCACAGTCTAAATATTATTATAAAATTTGCCATTTTTTTGACAATGTTTCGCGGTCTTTGCTATTTTGTTGGTAACTGGCCGTCTGGAAAAATCATTACCGAGGAACGCTTCTTGCTTTCCGGATCATTTTGATATATCCATATTTCGTCGCCAGTAATGATTTCAGAAACACGTGTTGACCTCCCACTTTAAATCTCACGGCACCATTCCTCACAGCCTTCTTTTTCCGTTTCGGAGAGCAAACGAGGTATCCAACGACAACAAAGCTTCCTCATTCCAAGATGTTCATATGGTGTGAACACTAACCGAACTGATGGCTAAGATTTTCTCTATGTCCCTGTATGTAATTCGTGGGTCATCTCGCACAAGCATTTCAGTAATCCACACATTTTCAGCAGTGACTGCTGTTGGCGGGTGTTCACTTTTGTCATCATCTTCAAGACTATTTTTTCCCTTTTAAATTCTTTAAACCAACTAAAAATGATTGCCCGAGAAGGAGCAGACTCACCTAAAGCTGATTTTAAACATTCTAAGCTTAAACCTTGAAATAAACCACATTTAAAGTCGTAATATATCATACCACGCAAATGTTCACGTTTGAGCTCCATTGTAGCAGACGTAAAAGCGGGAAGTGATGACAGCATAATACTTATAAATAATATTTTTTTGCAGCAATTGGCCTTTTGTGTTTGATAATATCAAATAAAATTGCCTTTTATTAATGTGAGATGCATATCTCTGTCATCTATTTTCAATATTCGAGCACCTCATACCTTATTTAGTAACCTATGTACTACAAGAGTGCAAGTAATAGCAGTAAGTACCTAATGCAGTGATAACCAGACCAAACTGGTGACCCGTCTACTCGTCTGCCCCTCTAACATAAAAAAAACTAATGACTCTCGTTCTCGACCATGACGCACGAGTCTCTTTTATAGTTTACTGAAAAGTGATCATTGTATATGAATATTGTTGCGGACTTTTACAAGATTTAAATTAAGACAAAAGCTAAATTTGGTGTAAAATATTTATTATTAAATACGAGACGTACCGTAAACAAGTTAATGCTACGATTAATGTAACTATGTTTCGTCCAGGAGGTGAGAGCCTGGTAATTTATAACACAGGTTTGGCCGGGCAGACGTGGGCGGTATAGAGTCTATACCGCCCGAGTTCCAACGGTCGGTTGGTGAAAACGGTTACACGCAAGTTACTGTTTAACAATTAACATTTTAATTATTTGTCTACAACTTTGCTTACTCCTTACTTACTTGACAGTGGTCTAACTTATTGATTATTGTATCAGGTTGGTGCGGCTTTTGGTATTGGTAAGGGACAGCTGTGTGAAAGTCGGAAAACCTCGGCAAACCTTTAAACACCTGTTGCGGAAACATTTTTCAAACACCTTATCAAATCCATTTTTAATTTTTCCTATATATGCTAGATATCCTATATATGCTATATTTTAGTTAAAATCACATTTTTTAATTATTTTGTGCATCTACCATGTTTTAGCTGTGCATCGCCCTAAGGTTGACTGGGAGAAAATGCCTACGGCATTAAGTCCGCCTTTGTCCCATTTTATTATAAAACGCCATCGTGACGTTAAGATCACTGAAGGAGTAACAATCGAAATCAGTAGACGAATATAGTTCGATGCAAACTTAATGATTGCTCTGAAATTAGCTGCGCAAACAGGTGTGCGGCGGGTACGTAGAAAGAAATGTGCGCGCATGTGCAGTGTACGGATGTAACTCACACACTAAAAGGCATGCGTGTCGTGTGTCGCCCTGCCCCCGCGCTGCTTGACGTCTCGCTGCTGTCTAATATTGTGTTCTGCGCATCGAAACGCACGATGTTCCGAGCGGCCATTAAGTTTGCATCGGACTATAATATATTGTGCAGTGTTTTATTACGTAAAGATTATCTATTTTATATTTGATTGAAGATTTAAAACCTATAATCTGGTATAGATAAGATGTTAAACCGGTAACATCAAATTTAATCAATGAAGAAGTGTTAGATTATGTTTTTTTTTTGTGTTTTCCCAACAAAATAATTTTTACTGTTATCGACGTCAAGTTCTTATAAATTGATTGATTTAGACATCGTAATCATGAGACTAATTAGTGTTAAGCCAGGAACATATGACACTTTTAGTCGTCAATAAATTTACCTTTCTAAAAGAAAATAAATTATTTGTATTTTTTTTAAACAAGCTTTTATAGCTCCTTTTTTTTTTTTTTTTGTCCCTGTTGCCCCGACATACCTCGGGTCATCTACAGACGAGTAGACGACCCCCCCCCCCCCGTGTGGGAACCCCATGTTCCCTATGCTCCCTGGAAGCGAGCGCGCTTCGCAACGCGCTCGCCGCCACCCCGGCCTGCTTCTGCTAGGGTGACCAAGCAGAAGCAGGCCGGGTAAGAGTCCTAAACCTCTCCCGGTCCCGCTCCGCCGTCTTCTTCGCGAGCATAACTTGCTCGCAGAAGGAGACGGCAGAGTTCCACGCACTCTCGCTCCGCACGATAGCCGCAATCAGGCTATCGAGCGAGAGAACTCCCACTCCGATGGCCGCCACGAGGTCTCGCCTCTGTTCAACCCACGCCGGGCACTCTGCCAGCGTGTGGAGAGCCGTGTCCACGGTCTGGCCATCACAGTGGTGGCACTCAGGCGTTGGCTCCTTGCGGAAGCTTTTATAGACCCTGGAAATCAGCGCTAAAGTTCGCAGCACAACAAAACAAATAAGCCCAAACTCGATGTTTTGGTTTTGTCAAGAAGTTCCTATAGCCATCTTCCGACTCCATTATCAGAAAAGTTCTATGGTACAATATTATTGTATTGTCTCTGAACACCAAATCTGCACCAAATTTGAGCCCTATCGGGAAGAGGTTTTCGTTTAGCTTCCTAAATTCGTGCCAAACACACATACATAATAATAATACTAATACCAGCCGCAAATTTCCGCCATCGTTCCACACGGCAAAATTTTCATCCTCATTACCTGGATAGTTGGCGCTCCACAGCTGTGCGCTTTTCGAGACACTTTCTGCCCCGCACAAACAATCTGTGGAACGGGTTATCGTCTGCGGTATTTCCGGACCGATATGACCTTCAAACCGTCAGGAAAAGAACGTACTCCTTCCTAAAAGGCTGGCAACGCGTTTGTGACTCCTGAGTTGCAGACGTTCTTGGGCGGCGATAGTCTCTTTCCATCAGGTGACCCGTCTGCTCGTCTAACATAAAAAAAAAAGAAAAAAAAACATCCAAACATAGGAAGTTTTAAAAAAAAGGTTGTAATTAAATTTCTTTTAGGTTAGTAAGCGACACACGGAACAGCTGCAAGGATTCGGTAATTTTCTTTAATAATCCAGTAGCCTGAATAGGGAAAGTAGGCCTGAAAACGGTAGTTTTAGATAAATAGGGTAGGGTAGGTAATACCCTACCCTATTTAGTTAAAACTAAGAAATTTAAACCGCAAATATAAATTGTGGTTCGTATTTTCACATAATTTTTTTAATTTTGATTTAATAACAGCGTATCATTATGGATTTTTCCTAAAGTCAGGAAGTTCTTGAACCGATGCATTTGTATTTAATTACTGTGGCTTATGGTTTACACTGATAAAGTTATTAGTTATCGATGTTAATCAATTATCTAGTGTAATGACTTGACATCAAACATGTTCGAGTATATATATTAGCAAGTAGAATTATTGTCTTCAGTTTTCGAGCGCTTCTAAAGATGGTCTACAAAACAGGACTCTTGTTGGTTACCTTATTGGTGGGGAGCTTGGGTAAGGACATATATATATATTTTTAAGAGCGTTTAATAAATCTATTTTGTGTAATTATATGTGTATACGCTTATTGACGCGATCGCATAATATATAGCTTTGAGTTACCTAAAGTTATGACCGGTTTGCTGTGGCCTGGCTTCTTGGCAGGCATTAGGTGGAAGGCTCTTTATCTACCCGCACATTTTTATATTTGAGGAGGTTATCCATTTTTTTTTAAATATTAACTCAGGGAAGCCCGTCATTTGTTAACTGATTTGGAAAAATCTCTTTTTAGTTGGAAGGGCATGGACCTCGTATAATTCGGCTTTACACGATGTACTTTAAAAACGGGTTGATATAGGGTTTGTTTCAAGTTTTCCTTCTCTTTGCAATGCTGTTGTTCTGCGTAGTTTGCTCCCTTAGTCTCTTACGACACCCACGGGATGAATAGGGGTGGTGACATTCCATATTCTTAATTCGTCACCACACGGACTTAACCCAACTGGCCAGCGTGGTATAGTAGGCCAAAACCTCCTTTCTAAGGAGAGGCCTAAGTCCAGCAGTGGACTATTATAGGCTGTTGATGATGATGACGATGATGACTTTAAAAACGGTTATAAATTAATAATAAATGTTTTGTTACAAAATGTATATCTGAATAAAGAAGATGAAGAAAGAAGTGAATATACAATAATAAACGAAATATACTTACAAAACAATCAAATAACTCTTTAATGCTATTTAAAATAATCAGTATTAAAAGAGAGGATACCTACCGTTACAGAAAAGCTTAGAGTATTATATCACAACAGGCGTATCTTCTAGCTCTAAGCAGTCCCCTTTTTATATTGCTGAGAATATATTACCGCTCTTTTAAAAAAATCAAGGCTTTTTTTAGAAGTAACAACAAATAGTATAAATAACCATAAAAATGTGCAAACATTAAAAAAAAATCGATGCGTCTACATCGTGTTGAATTGTAATAAACTGTACTTTTTATTCTTTAATTATCACCCTTAGGGGTGGTATTTGTCAATAAATTCTATGTGATTAGGTCCGGTGGGAGCTAATGGGAAGGGGTAGGAGAAATGGTGTACTCGATTCGAACAGAAAAAGACGTATGGCGTACATAAATGACGGAGCTATGACAAATGGTCGGCACAAAATTTAAAAAAAACATACAGCCGAATTGAGAGACTCCTTATTTTTTTGAAGTGATTTAAATAACAAAATGTTAGATTCTGTTAATTACAGAAAATGTGTGAAAGAAACAGAAAGCCTGAAACTAAAGCAATTGTAAGCAGTTCCCATTTCTTATTATCTTAGCTGTAATCCTTTAATACTGGTATAATGGTATCAATATTAATCGATCTTTTTCTATCAACATTTGTTATCACATTGTTAGCTACACAACCATAACAACTCACACACACACACACACACACACACACGCACACACGCGGACACACACGTTCATGCACATGCGCACACGCTCGCACGCACACACACACACACACACACACACATTTAACTCAAACTGTCTTTGGTATATATTATACATACGGTCTTCATCCAACCAACGGTGTCTTCATCGTCTCAATGCCCAACGAAACACACTATTGTAATTCCTTAGAGCCGTAACCTGTCTCTTAAGATACAGGCGTAGCCTAGTTTAAGAGACATGGTTCAAATTTTGAATATACAACAATATTTTGTAATTTTAGAACTTTAGCGTATAATACTGTAAATACCAATTGTGTCTGCTAGTTTTACTGTTGTAACACCTTTGGACCAATAAATATATTTATTATTATTATTATTAACTACGCCAATATTCCCAGAGGGGTATACAGAGCCGTATTGAAATCCATCAATTTGCCAATATTTTAGTCTCACTTCATTAATAGTAGACAAACCTGTTGCCTTTAACGTTAAGAATTAGAGGTGGGATATTAATTAATATTAATGCGTTTGGTGACAGATTAAGAATACGGAGTGTCACCACCCCTATTCATCCCGTGGGTGTCGTAAGAGGTGACTAAGGGAGCAAACTATGCAGGACAACAGCACTGCAAAGAGAAAGAAAACTTGACACAAAACTATACCAACCGTTCTGGCCAGCGTGTTATAATAAATCAAAACCTCCTTTCTAAGGAGAGGCCTATGGCCAGCAGTGGACTATTAAAGGCTGTTGACGATGATGATGATGATATTAATCAGTATGCAAATCTATGGCGTTTACCAAAGTTTTCCTCACCTCCTCGTTTTTTCTCACAATTGTTTTTTTTTAAATCTCTTGTACTCCGTGCCGACCAGTGCCGACCGTATACGTTCAGGTTTATTAAGCGTCCTCATAGTATTGTTTGTATTTGCAAACACTTGAGTTTGTGGGGCATGCGAAGATATCTGTCTAGAAGAAAATATTAAAAAAATATTGATAATATGCAGTCGACATAGACGGGCGAGCACCACCAGCCCGGTCACCGCGGCAAGTGAAATCTGTTCCAAACGTCAGGCAATTCAATACCTATTAAGTGATAACTTAAATTACCGTATACACAAATAATAATATAATCGTATCATGGAAAGTGTAAGGTATATTTTAAAGGCTACGAGTTACATAGGTCACACACATTACTAGTAGATATTTTTGTTAACCTTTCCAGCTAAGTTAAATGGGGAGATAAACATGTTACAGGTGACGATTTATGTCAGTAGTATCTTAAATGCACTTGGAAATGGCAATAATATTACGCAAACACCTTTTTTTTATACTTTCGTGTAAAATCATTGCAGCTCTCCCAATGCCCGAAGGTGACTTCTTCAGTGACAACATTAGTTCCCGCATCGTTGGGGGAACCGTTGCAGCTGTGGGAAGTCATCCTCATATGGTAGCTTTGACTAGAGGTTTACTGGTCAGATCAGCCTTCTGTGGAGCATCTCTCATCTCGCCACGGACTGTCTTGACCGCCGCTCACTGCGTGACCGGCGTGATAAGCGGATCAACAGTAAACAGGCAAGTAGCCAGTTTCAAGATAGCTGTATTCGATGACTGTTGTGGTAGATAGAAGCCACTTGTTATGTAAGCCAGCCCTGGATTAATCATGAGACATCACTTCCAATCAGCGCCAACGGTCAATTTAGTTATATCAGTATTATTAGTATATCATGTATTTAAATCACCTTCTTTTTATGTTTTTACAGTATGGTTTATTACCAAGTGGCTTTTCTCTACCAATTCATATTAAGAGTGGTTCAGAGCGGATTCATAGGTTAGAGCAATGATAAAATAAATTGATGGAGAATGAAACAAAGCGTATCATATACATGTATCAACGCGTATCGTATCATACATAATACATGTATTATGAAGATATTTTTACGATTTTTCTTCTATGAAACTCACGTATTTTAGTTTTTAAATTGTTGCGGGATCCTAATTTCAAAAGAGAGTGCATTCTAAAACAAGATAAACTAGACGGAAAATCAAGAGTGAATAAGACAAAAACATTATGTAGGCCATAATAGTAGAAGGTTATTTGAAGAGCAAAGATCTCTGTTATGGTTGAAATATAGAAATTGAAACTGTGAAGTAAATAGGAGCAGTAGGGATATTATAAAGAGAGTAGTTAAAGCACATAGGTTACATGGTTGTCGTAAAGGTAGAACCGACAGTTGGGTTCGATATGTAGACTTGAGAATATTTAAAATAACTAGAATGTAATTATTAAAAAGTTTTTGTATTATTTATGATTATTACTTAGTTTGGTGACTGTCCGTGTGGTGACGGATTAAGAATACAAATTGTCACCACCCCAATTCATCCCGTGGGTGTCGTAAGAGCCGACTAAGGCAGCAAACTAAGCAGGACAACAGCACTGCAAAGAGAAGGAAAACTTGAAACAAACCCTATGCCAACCAGTCTGGCCAGCGTGGTATAGTAGGCCAAAACCTCCTTTCTAAGGAGAGGCCTATGTCCAGCAGTGGACTAGTATAGGCTGTTGATGATTACTTAGTTTAAAGAAAATGTATTTTAAGAAAAGAAACTCCCAAATATTTAAGATACTTATTTTTTTTTATATGTACAGTCAACTGCGTGTTGTCGTCGGCACCAACCGCTGGAACTCAGGTGGAACTGAGCACCGCGTGTCCCGTGGTGTAATACACCCTAGCTACGACGCATCAAATATCAAGAGCGACATCGCCATTTTAAACACTGAGAGTGCTATTGCACTGAACAACCGCGTTGGGACAGTAACTGTCTCCTACAATAATGTCGGCGGTGGTGTGCCCGTACTTGCAGCTGGGTGGGGCGCAACAAGGGTGAGTGGAAATTGTTCTTTTTTTAAAGACAACGGCCGCATTCTATATCCTGTGTGACTTTACAATCATACTTGAAACGAACGCAAGCAATACCCAGACTCAGAACAAAACTTTGTGGATCACATAAAGTGTTGTCCCGTGTAGAGGCCAAACCCACAACACTTAGCGCAGTAGGGGAAGCGACGTGACCGCTTAAAACACTACGCAGTCCAAATTCAAATTATTTATTTGCTTCTAAATATTATTTTTATATATTTAAATTTTAATTATTCATTAATTCCGTGTTATGTGCATATATATTTAACTTAAGATCTCGTAAACATCACACCCTGCGTCAAGTCCACAAAAAAAGGTACTTTGCTTTTGCTTTTTTTGATACTTATCAGCTCGAGAAGAAAATGAGTACTAAAATTTACAAAGTTTTCTTCTACTGATACTTTTCTTTATGAAATGAATAACGTTTAAATATTTGCTTAATACGTATCGATGCATGTGTTTAATTCTCGTTTAGGTATATTACTGCACAGCGTAAGCGACTATGAGTGAAATAAATGGAAATTAGGAGCATTAAACCAACTGTAACTGAATTTATGTACATGTTTCATATTTCAGGCTAGCGGTCCTGTACAAAGCGATCTCTTGGAAGTGCGAGTCACTACTCTCTCCGGCACACAGTGCGAAAACGATATGAGACGATTCCAGACGACGACTAACAGGAGAATACCACCCATTGACAGTAGGGTTGAGCTCTGCACTTTCCACAGTCGCGGACAAGGCACCTGCCAAGTAAGTAGAATCCTTACCCAATCAGTGTTAAGATGGGTCGGAAACTGTTAATTACTTCTTAGATACCCATTTATTCATTATTAACTCTTACTTCTTAACTTAAAATATTATCTTTTTGAAAATTGAAACTAATATATGTAGACACATTTTCTTTTGGACGACCATAGACGACAATATTTCATTCCTTCTGGACGACCATAAATATTGGTAGAATATTTAAAAACAAAATACAAACAGTTTCGCGGTTACGGTTTCAGTCTAATGCGGCAGAAATAGTTTACCTTTGCCTAAGTTTTAGCTGGTTAACTTTAGCCACCTGTCTGATACTAACCGTCCAAAGGAATGTAGTCGTTTTCTGACAGGACAAGAAAGGAGGTAAATTGGAGTATGACAAACTGATCGAATGAGGGAACTCGGATGGAGAACCAGGGCTGAGATGACAGCAGCTTGAACAGGCATAGGTCACGTGCCTGAAAGTCCGTCTCTACTTGAAAAGGACATCAACTGACCAAAAACACGGCATGTGAGGGTAAATGAGCAGAAGGGTCACCGCCTTTCGGTGTACATTCAAGTACATTGTCGCCCTTTGTGTTCCCTTCAACCAGAATCAGTGGGAGGAGAGATTTGGGACTTCGATTATTTATTTATGACTTGACTTGACACAAATATGTACATCGGCGGACTTAATGCCTAAGGCTCACTCACTCAATCGCTGAAAAGAAGCGAAAGAATTGTCTAACACCGGTTTTCTGTGAGACCGTGGTACCATTCTAGTCGAGCCGGCCTATTTCCTTCCGCTGCATAGCTCTCCCACGAATACTGAAGCTAATGAAATATACATACCAAACATGTTTTAACCACAGGTGCTAAGAAATAAACTAAAAATGTTCAACATTTTTGTCGTATCTACACCTGACCGTACCATATATAATTCTCCATTTATTGCTCTCAGGGTGATTCCGGTTCTGCTCTGCGCCGCATCGACAATGGGCAACAGGTCGGCATCGTCTCCTGGGGCTACCCATGTGCTCAGGGCGCTCCTGACGTGTTTGTGCGTGTCAGCAGTTTTGAAACCTTCATCAGGGCTAATACCATGTAAGAACAGGACTTTAAGGAGCACATCAAATTTGACTAATAAATGATCTTTACGTTGTATCTTTAATTTCTTTTTTTCTTACTGAATATGCTACATTTATTTTAACCGACTTCTAAAAGGAGGAGGTTATCAATTCTCCTTTTTTATGTATATTTGGGCACAACTCCGTCATATATAGACGGGTTTATAAAAAAAAAATATTCTTCGAATGCGGATAGATTTGATGATGAGTTTTGGAGACAGACAACGGAACTCTTAAAAAAATTACAGCAAATCAAGCATAACTGCTGCTAGATTTTTAGTGCTCTTTGTCAGTATTGTTTGCAGTCAGTCCATTTTTTTTTAAGTGATTTATTAATAAGACAGAAGTTTTTTACGGTATGGAGGCAAAGGACAAGACGGGTCATCTGTAATGTGATTATCGTTACCTATAGACATCTGCAACTGAAGAGAAACAAGTACGTTGTCGGTGTTTGAGTTCTTCTCCAGAATAAGGAGGGAAAGGAGAGGAAGTAGGGTCTCCGGTAATCTCAATCTCTCGTTGAAAAGCAACGTAACCATTACTAAACATTGTTTTTTTTGTGAGGTTGTGGTACCATTCCAGTTGTGGTGGCCCTTAAATGCCGAGTATGGCTCTTCTACGGTACATTCGTGATATTCTTAGATTTAATTTAGCCCTTAGCCATTTCGAGGCCCCGGGTGGGTGGATCCTTTCGAGACTCCAGGCTGGTAGATCCTTGTCTTTGTTTAATTAGTATTGACAACAGTACTGCTAAAAGAAGGAAAACCTGACACAAACCCTCTACCAACCCATCTGGCCAGCGTGATATAGTAGGCCAAAACCTCCTTTCTAAGGAGAGGCCTAAGTCCAGCAGTGGACTAGTAAAGGCTGTTGATGTGATGTGATGTGATGTAACAAAAAATGCAACACAACAAATACTGCTGTTCGAAGATATAAGGATAAGCACTGGAAGCCTGTCAAAATGACGGGCGAAATGAAACACGGTGATGCGCCGAATGTAAATCGAGCGCCAGTAGCGTGACATTGCGAGGCGTAAAACGCGAAATTCAAATAAACATTTTCCATTTGGGTTGTTGCGCTAGTGCGCGAGGCTACAGCAGGAGCGAGGCCCTGGGCGATTGCAACCCCCAAAAGGCCGGCCCTGTTATTTAGGTCATAGCACGTTAAAAAAACGGTTCTTAAGAGATAATCTAATTTATTAATTCACTACATTTTAAATTATACTTACTTTCTATGAAATTGTGTCTTGTGGAGTCGGAGTCAACTCATTATGTAATAATTCTTACTTTTTTTTAGGCCGATTTTAGTTCTACAATTCATAATAATAACTTGACACGTCTTACACACTACCACCTAATCCCAAACTAAGCATTATCTAGACTGCTGATAAACATACTTATATATTACTAAATGTATACCTACATATTATAGATAACACACCCAGACACAGAACAAAAATTCGTGCTCTTCCTATAATTATCTGGATCAGAAGTTAAATCATTAACCACTTGACCAAAGGGCCAACTACTTTTTTTAAAGACTAACTAAACCAACTAACTTAATCCTGTATCGCGGGGTACTTTACAAACATACATGAAACGGACACAAAGAACACCCAGACTCAGAACAACAATTTGTGGATAACACAAAGTGTCGTCCCATGTGGGGATCGGACCCACAACACTTAGCGTAGTCTGAAGCGGCGTTGCGACCGCTTAAACCACTACGCCATCCGTGCAGTCTCCTTAATACCTAGATTTTTTAATTTGATTAAAACAATACGGTTTTTACTCATGTGTATATGATTAATTTCGGAGATAGCTTCTAGCCCTGCGGCTGATATTCAAACTTGAGGACTTTGAGACGGATCCGGTTCCAAAAAGTTACACAGTCAGTTGAATGTGCACCACGGTGCCTGTTATTAACAACACCGCAATGCAACGCTCCGTCTGAAAAACGAAGGAACCGATGGCAAAAAAAAAAGCAAGTATAACACTTGACACCCGAAGGATGCTACACTCTTCAAAAATATGACCGGTTGGGTCCCAAACAAATGGGAAATTCCTGAAATACGTATTTACATACACACACACACACACATACATACACTTACATCTTTATCTACGAAGGGATAAACAGAGGCACATTTATCAGTCTATAGTTTTTATGCCACTCGCATAATAGGGGGCATCCATAATGCCATCAATCAGGCACGGCACGGGCACTTTAGTAATTGAGTGAGCAAATTGTAACACGCAGCACCACCTAGTGAAACAAAACCGAACTACTGATTTCAGACAAAGCGATGCAAGTTATTTCCAATTGATCGAAAGAATATACTTGGAATAAGTTTAAGCCCGATTATTGTAATAAAAACTCCGATCCTAAAACTCCGACTTTCCGATCTACTATCGATCTTACAAATATCATAAAAGGTATTTTTGTAGTAAAGTATTAAACATCCAACGTTGACTGAGTCGGTAATCTGCTAGTCTTAAAATTACTTTACTATTTTACTAATAAAATACCTTTATGACATTTGTGAGTTCGAGACTAAATCAAAACTTAATTACTAACTTTTATTACGAGAATTGACCTTTTGGACATCTACTATGAATTCCTTTATATCGTTACACAATATTTAAGTAGATTTTTTTTCTTACAACATTGAGAATCTCAAATCAAATAGGGAAATTAGAATTCATCATGTGCAATACTAGGGCAATTGAATGTAATGCTCTTGACACCCAAGAAGTTTTTAAACAGTTGTTTTCTGAACTTTTGTTGGTATTTATTATCCGTGTCCGTGGTTCCACGTGTACCTATTTTAAATTAAGTCTTTACAAACTATTAATTAGGGAAACAATACTCTGTACCTTTTGAGTTTTGACAGTTCGAAACATAGTGATGACCAAAACCTTTTGTCGATTAAATTATAAACAACCATCAAGTTTAGTTTAACTTAGAGGAAGTTTTCATGGATTCGAAGTATGAAGTTAATTTAGCTAAGTTTACACATGTTATGTTATACATGAGAAATGGTTATTGATACTGCAAAGGAATCATAGAGATATAAGTATAGACAGAACATAGAGTACAGTTGGCTGTACGTGGAGACAAGATATCGATCCCCGAAGTTCCCTCTGTCTCTGTTTAGCTAAGCTGCGATTGGCTATCATGGTTTTTATTAGAAATATTCCCAGCCAACCACAGAGCTAGACTAGGAAGAGATAGAGGGAACTATCTATTCTCCATCTCTCTAGTTGTCTATATTGCAAGATTGTGGCTCTTGTTCACTCTAAACTAATATCTCTATGAAAGGAATTAGTAGTCAAATTGCAATTCTATTGTAAACCAACCATTTTTCATTTGTTCACCAGTTGCAATTTCAACATTTCAATCAGTATGAAATTATTTACTGCTAATGTATTAAAACATTTCTCATACGTTTATTTTGAATAAACACGATTGATATATCGATTATAAAATATGTAGTAGAAACATTTGGTAACGTCTTTACATTCAAAAGAATGAATTGCGTTTTATACATATCAAAAGTCATTTGAAATTCTTAAAGAATAATGTATTCAATTACTTAAAAATAGATGACGATAGACGATTAATTATGTATTGTCCTAACATCACGTTGAAAAATTTAATTTTACAAAATCTGGCACTATAATGTTCAATCAAACTGTACAATATTACTAACACAAGACACAAAATAATACTCAACAAATAGCAGTCATATCATGTATACATAAAACGATTAAATTATGTCTAAATCTCTCTCTCTCTCTCTCTCTCTATAAAAATCACATAGAAAGAAGGAACATTAATTTGCACAGAATACAGGTGGTATCAGATTTAACAGAAGTGTATCGTTCAAGCTATATTCTGCCTGTATTAGGCATGCAAATATTTGGTGTGAATTTAGTATTTCAATTATATCACATTTGAAACTACTGATTTGTAAAAAAAAACAACTGACTTCTGCCGAAATCTGCCGCTTTTTTCAAATTTAGTCTGGCAGCACTAGTCAGTGGCAGTTTCTTGTTTTAGTTCATCTAAATATATAACTTATTTTGTTGCAATAAAGTTTACTTCTACTCACCGTAGCAACATCAGCTGCATGTAAATAATTCAAAACAAACTTAAAATGAAACAATTCCAATTCTTGTAGTTTTCTATGATTCTTTATTTAAATCTATGAACACTTTTTGCCTAATTTTACCGTGTTAGGAATTTGAAATTTAATCACAAACGTTTTTATTTAGGAAATGTATCCTACTCACAAAAGTGCATATAATTTGAGAAAAAATCTTCAAATGGAGGGTGACTGTAAATATTTTCAAATTATGGTTCAGTTACTTCTACCTCCAGACTTTCTTTTTCGAACCAGACACCACAGCCGCACGAGGTAAGACGCCTTCATTTATAAAATTAAATTTCCAACCATTTAATATTTTCTAGGTTTACCTACAATATTAGTAAAGTAAGTAAATAACTACTAGCAATGTATTTATGGTGTTGTTCTAGGTTTAAATTAAAAAAATGGAAGGCACGGAGAATAATTTAAATGTAGAAGGGCCATATCCAATACTGTTCATACCTAAAGTGTGCACAACTTTGGAGACAAACTGCGGAATGTCAGAAAATGTGTTCATACATTTAAACATAAAATCTCCAGACACAGAAGGAAATGAAACAGTCATATACAATGGCTTTTGTAATTTAAAAGTGGTAGATGGGAATGATATTAATATTAGGTATGGGTCTCCTACTAGCTTGTCAAGCAGTGAAAACATCCCTGTCATATTAGCAGAAGCAAATCAGATAACATTTCCGGCATACAATGAGTCTCAAGTCTGGATAGATCCTTCTAGAAGTCCATATGTGTATAATCGCTGTGAGACACCACCATTGGAGTCTTATACTATAACAGAGGGTCCTGATAACCATATAACAATAGAACAACATAACATGTATGTTACTCAAAATGTATATAATTGTAATGAGCCAGTACAATACTCTCCTGTCAGCGATGAACAAAAATTGGTCAAAAAAGTCAGTGAACCAGTCCAAAATTCAGACGGTTACAACATGTATGAGGAGGATGAATTTGAGTGTGGAGTATTCTTGTCACAATTGTCTGAAGAAATTATAAATGAAAAGGAAACACGGGCAAGAGATGAGAGGAAGTTTGTTGGCCTGCACACAGATAATGAAGCTTTAAAACAACTGATGTCAACTGATATACAGTCTGTTTCACGGCAGCAAAAGACTATACTATTCCTGGGTCATGATTCTGAATCTGGACAGACTATTCAAAATATTTCTATCAATGACCCCCTGATGGAGTGTGCTGGAACTGGTGAAGTGGACAGTGAAATTGTTGTTGGTAAGTTGAACTGTATTTTTTACTCCCAACTTATCTTTGTTTATTCAGTAGATATACTGTTTGCGGTATAGCTATATTATATAGTATGCAGTAAATTTTCATAAAGATATAAATTAAAGTGTGTGTTTGTAATATCAAAATAACAGCATTTTTACTAAATGTATTTGAATATTTACATGGTACTTATACTAAGTAATTGTCTGTCTGCTTGTGTGATACGGCTCACATGCTGAACATGTACAGATTTTCATAGGACTTTTACTAAAAGATTTACTAACAGAGCTGATATTAAGAAAAGTAATTTATGCATCTTTCTTACCTGCCATTGAAGACTTTTTTAAAATACAATGATGTTAGAGCCAAGGTAACTACCAATCCCCAAACACCTGATAAAACTATGTTATACACATTTCATCAATTATAAATTAATATTAAGTACCTTACCAGTTATATTTATATGTTAAGCTGTTCATGTAGTATTTTATATTTAGAAGCAATTTTTAAAATTTATACACAACCAACCAATTTATATATATCCATAAATTAGGTCACATGTTAAGAGGGAGACAGTGGGTCGACGAAGTATAATATTGTGTCACAATGGATGGGAGGGGTCCTAAGTTTCGTGATGCCATATTTTAAAACCTAATATATCTAATTATTATTACGCGACATTTTAATTATTAACAGTAATAGAATTTATCATTCTTTTTTTTTTCAAATGGTTTAATTTGCTTTGACTTTAGTTAATGTTTGATTTAATGTTGATTTTATACTACTACTGTTTTAATTTAATAATTTCTATATGTAAAATTGCAAAATATGTGACGTCACAATGCAGATTAAATTCGGAGTCTCACAAATGTGACCAGAAAGACAGCGGTGGGGATCTTAAACTATGAAATCGTGTGACGTAATGCATACATTAGATTCATTCCAAGATGACCCCCAAACTGACTTAATTAGTAGTAAAATACAGACCTTTGTTGGCTTATATCTATACTCTATACAAAATAAATAAAATTCAGGTGTCTGTTTGTAATGTCAAAATAATAAGTTTTTCATGCTCACGGTTATTTGCACGATACCTATGCCTGAAAACCAGTTTAGGTACGATTTAGATAATATTTTACTACCAGGCAGCTGTCTATATAAGGAGTAATTTAGGCTATTTTTCTCAGAAAAACCCTATTAAATTTTTCCCGGTCCGGGAATCGAACTCACTAAGGCAGCGCGAACGAACTCGCGGGCACCAGCTATTTCTAAAATAAAAACCACCTTGTATTTAAGTAATGTATATAATATGACCAAGAAAAAAAATCTAAGAAAGAATATTAGTTAACAGGGTTGGATCTACCCCTTGCGTAGCCTTGGAGTCCCTTAAAATACCACTTAACTTTTGTCACATAGGAGACATTAACATTTCAAGCGTTTAAGGAAAGAAGTTCTTCGAGCACAGTGAATAACCTACATGGTTTTAAAATTTGTGCCAATAACAATCAGTAATTCTAAGGAATCTAATTGTAAATACAATTTAAAAGTCGCAGTGAGCCTGTTTCTTGTTTGATTTTCGTGGCTGTAGCAAATCTTAAACGACTAATGCTACATTCATCTAATATATTAGTCCTGCATTCATTCCAGATGACTGCCCCACATCCACTTCCAATCCACGCTCAAAGAAATATCAATGCAACAAATGTAAGAAGATCTTCGACCAACTGTCTGCTTTCAAACAACACATGGTTGTGAGCCATCGTTTTTACAACCCCTACGACATTTCTGGTAACGTCAGATATATGTGTAGCGATTGTGGTAAGAATTTGAAAAACCAAGAAAAGTTTGAGCAACACTGCCTTGGACATGGCGATCCAGATCTAGAATGTAACAAATGCCATAAAGTGTTCGCTTCAAAATTTACTTTACGCAATCACCGTAAGATTCATTCCAGGATGTTTCCGTGCAGCCATTGTGTAAAATCTTACTCTACGGCTGATGAATTGTGCTCTCACGCAGCGAAAGCACATGCTGTTTATATGTGCAACTCTTGTTCGTTCTCTTGCGATAATACGGCAGATTTGACTTCACACCAAGAGGAGCACAATGACGAAGTAAAAAGCTTGACAAAGAATTCTAGTGAGAGTGACTTCGCAGCAGAGATGTTTAGTGAGATTATAAGCGATATGTCGGCATCTGATGAAATCGTGAAGTCTGAAGAGGATCATGTTCAACGAGCTGATTCTGTCATAGCTAAAGTCATGTCTAATAAGCTGTTTCGGTTTGGCGGCAAGAAAAGTAAGAAGCAGAGGAGATATGATAAGGTATTTATAAGTACATACTTGTACTCTGCAAGAAATTATAATTATTGGCATAGCTTTACCGTGGGAGAGCCATGCTTCGGCACGAATGGCCTGGCTCGACCGGAGTGATACTACGGCCTCACAGAAAACCGGTGTTAAGTAATTCCTTCGTTGCCCTTCACTGAGTGAGTGAGGTTACCAGAGCCCAAATCCCCCTCCCCCTGACTCGAGCGGGAGGGCTCCAAGGGCAGCAACGCACTTGTGACTTTTGAGTTACAGGTGTCTATGGGCGGCGGTAGTTGCTTACCATCAGGTGACCCGTCTGCTCGTTTGCCCCCTTATACCAAAAAAAAAAAGCTAACACACACACACACACACACACACACACACAAGGTTAAGTAATGAATAAAGTTTCAGCTTCCTAATATTTATTAAATCTAAACAAACAAACTTTTAAGATGAAAGGCTTAAGACGTAAGGGGTGATTTTGTTTCAAGTTAAAAAAAAAACAAAATCGTTCTGTGACTAATATTTTCGTAGAATGAGTTTTATATTTAGGAAACACATTATAATGTGGGTGTTATCTTTAAAATGTTATTAAAAGTATAAAATAACTATCGTCCTTACTTAGTTTTATACTATTTAAATTGGCACAAATAATAATTAAATGTCTAATGTTAGCAGACGTATATTAACTACATTCAATAAATTTTCAGACTTGCGATGTTTGTCTGAAGAAATTCGACAGGATCGGCGACCTCAAACGTCACCTAATCGAACATGTTATACAAAGCACTCTGGCCAAGAACCCGGTCAACAAATATGGGGTTCTTAATATACGATGCGAAATATGCCAAGAAAAAGTATTTACCAAAATCGATAGATACAAAGCGCATCTGAGAGAACATGCTAAACTTACTCTGTATAAATGCACTTTTTGTGATAAATCCTTTAGCGATTCCAGTAATTTTTCCAAACACAAAAAAATTCATGGCACCACTTTCTTCCAATGCGATATTTGTCAGAGGAAATTCAACTCTAAGAAGATGATCACGCAGCATATGGAGTATCACAACAAAAACAATCCGTTACACTGCCAGTACTGTGACAAAGTGTTCCACTTTAAATCTATGCTTAACAAGCATATTAAATGTTCCCATGTCAAAGAAAGTACCTGTAAGTTCCGATGCAGGTTCTGTCGGGATTATTTTAGGAGTTTGAAGGAGAAGTGGGATCATGAGTGGACAGTCCACAATGTTAGGAAGGTGATTGTCGACTGCTTGATCTGTGGATCACGCTTCAGAAAGTACGCTGAGCTGAAGAGACACTGCACAGATGAACATGATACCGTCATCCCTCCAGCTAAGAGGCTTTTGAGATGGAAGTTGAAGAATAAGGAGAGGATTATAGAAGGTGAGTGAGGCTGGGCCTTTTCGCCTTTCATTATTTGGAGTTATTTATTTTTCGTTGTTTATTATATTTTTGTTTAAAAGTAAAATGTCTTTATTTGTCTGTGATTTGTTAAGTCTCTAGTGTTAGTGAAATTCTGTTCTTTATACATAGGTTTTATTTGTCTGTTGCGTTTAAAATAGTCGAAGTCACGTAAGTGCCCACTTAGGCAATTATTGTTTGTAAACAAGTCTCTTATTGAGGGTTGAGAGAATTATTGGAACGAATGAGGAGTGTAGGTAAGAGGTGTATACATTATTTATGATTTGCATATTATATAAGGGATATTACATTTAAACTGTTGCGTTCCATCATATCCATTTGAATAGATTTACGGAAATGAATGCGATCAGGTAACAGGTACTTTACGTATGTACAGGCCGTGGTCACAGGCTGGCTGGTCAGCTGTGACCATGGCCTGTCCAACCTGGTCGTTAGGTCAGAGAATTCAAACGTATGTAGTACCTATTACGTGAATGCGTTAATTCTAATGTATGAACATAATTATATAAAACATTTATCATACTTTTAATTACCTTACATTAAGTGCGGTATTCATGTACACGGATAATCTTAAAACACAATATGTAGTCGATTTTGATATGTACATTAAATGAGTCCAGGCTATAACAGGTTGCCTTAGTCACAATTTAAAAAGTTGAGGTTCTAATTTTAAACGTTGAAAGATTGTCTATTTTCTTACGTTATTTTAAAGGAATACCTCTTAAAGGAAGACTGATTTTAATAAGTATAGACTGATTTAAAAAGAAAAGTAGAGGTAAAGTAGAGACAATACACAGATTTAAAAATCATTTAGGGTATATCAGGTATATTCGGTTACTGACATTGGATAATTTCATTTTATTGTAATTTGCCCAATGTCCCGCAATATTTTTAGGTAAACGTCTGTTTTTGTTACACTTTTTCTGTTAATTTGTTCAAAGACATTTTTTTCTTTTTGATGTGTAACATCTTTCCTTTCGCATACCTACAGTGGAAGTGATTTGGTGAAAAGGGATGGAAATGTGTATCAGAGTAACAGCCCCGGATCTACCATTCTTTCGAACCGGGGCAGAAACTTGATGGGGGCGACCCTCTCCATCGTTTGAAATAAATTACTTAAAAAATCTCACAAATAAATAAGTTAACTTGTAGTGTGGGCCTGTGTGGGCGCCTTGTTCTTACAAGTCGACGGTGAGCCAACCAGGCTTCCGTATAGTAGGCGCTTTGTGTAGCAAGTTTTATTTTATCATACTATATTATGATTTTGGCGCCCCTGAAACTACCGCCTAGGGCGGGTGCTGCGGTTTGACCCCCCCCCCCCCCCCCCCCCCCCCTCCCCTCCCTAGAATCGGGGCTGCTAACAGTGGCTTTGTTGGCACTCATTAGCGTGCCCGGTGCTAGAGTTGACCGTCAGATAGCAGGTGAAATGTCAGATGTCACACATCACAATAATACGCGATTGCTGTCACTACTGTCAGTGTCGTTTCTTTTTTATTTTATAAGTAGATAGATTGTGTGTGATGTTGTTAAGAATTAAAGTACATTTTTTCGATTTTTTCTTATGAACTTAATATAAACAATCTTTGTTCTAAGGTTATTCAAATGAGTTTATAAATCGGAATCGTGTGTAATTTTATAAGCAATAACGGGTTTTTATTTTTTTTTCCTTTATACCTAATTTATGTTCGTTAATAATGATAAGATTGTTTATATTTTAATTTGTTATTTATTTATTTTGTAAGTTGATTAGCGTTTCTTTGGTGTGGGACTTTACAAATTGTGTCCAAAGTCACCGAATTACTGAACTCTCAGCCAGGGTACAGATGATAATTTTTTCGGTTAGTATTTCTACTCCGTCTATAAAATACTTCAGTAATTTAGGAATATTTATTTACAAGAACTTTATAGTAGATCATGAAAATGTGTAAAGTATAAAAAAAAATCGTGATCATTTAATATTTAAGTTAATATTTATTGAGTTTTTGTTGACTTTGAGATCTCATTTTTATTATTTAAGAGCCGGTAAAACGATATTTTCTGTTGTTAAACGTTTTAAATAAAAGTTTAATTGTTTTATCGTGGTTTTCATTTCTATTGCCACAACATTACGATATGTAAGATGCAACATAAAAAAGGAATGTTCTAGAATGAAGTATGGGACAACCCGTTAGGTGTCTCTTAGCATAAAAATGTCACTACGATCAGGCAGGCAAAATGGGCAGACTTTCCCTATCTTCATAGCATGTCTGGAATAATCTATGTGTTAGTAAGTAAATTTGAATATTGGAGAGAATTGTGGTCACATGTTACGAAAAATGCTATTGGTCCGGCATTTCTGCCTCTGGGCCAATCAGAACACTCGTTTCTGTTTGCTAGCATGTTTATACTAGATTATTATTTGTCACTTAGACCATGCTGTTCATTAAAACCTTAATATTAAAACTCAGTGTTTAAAACAGTTTGTGTGGGTCATAACTTAAAACTTTAACATAAAACAGTTTGTGTATGTCATAACTTAAAAAACCTTAACACTCTGAACTAATTAATTGATACCATAGGTATATCCTACGACGAATACAAAAAATAATAATAATAACTTTACACATCTCACACACGGCAGTCTGATCCCAAACTAGGCAGAGCCTGTGGTATGTTAAACAGACTGCTGATAATCATACTTTCCAAATACATGCATATATATAATTTTTAAACTTTCGCGTTCCATGATAATTAATATTATTTAACGGGAATTAACGCGATCTCTTATTTAGGGTATTACATACCTCTGGTTTGCCTGACGTTTCGACCAGGTTGCACCGGCCGTGGTCACAGCCTGTGACCACGGCCGGTGCAACCTCGTTAATTCCCGTTAAATAATATTAATTATATATATAATTGTGGGTGTAAATAACATACAGATCAAATGCTCATCACACAATTATTTGCTCTGGATGGGGACCTAGTGCATGCTTGGGAAACTGGACAGAGACCACAGTAACTTGTTGAGGCCAGAGTCGTGCACGCTTATGTTTCTCCTGTGATTGGAAAAGTCAATAGGACAAGGACATAAACTTACCAATAAGGATTTCTTAAGGTATAGGGGGCAAACGAGCAGGCAAGTCGCCTGATGGTGACAGTCACAATTGCGTTGCCTCCCCCTAAGCTAAGTGAAGAATCAGAGGGAGATCAGATTCGAACTCCTGTAACCTCACTTACTCAGAAAACAGATAGGTTTTCCTTGAGGCCGTGTATTACAGCTGCCGAACCTGTCCATTTCAGACTCGTTCACGGTCATCTTTGTCTATGTAGATACGACACTATAGTCATAAGTTAGTGCCAATGTTGACTTCAAATGTTTACGAGTTTCCCACCAACGATAAATATTTGAAAACAATTTTAACCAACCGTTGCGTCATGGTGTATATACGGACATTTTACGATTACCTGTCGATATTATAGGTTTATGCTATTCATTCAAATTAGTAGCTCTTTTCTAAAGAGTGTCCAATGTCCAGCAGTGGACTATTAAAGGTGGTGTGATGTGATGATGTGATAAATGTAAGTAAAAATATGAAGACGTCTAAACATTAAGTGTTTTGTAATCGTTCTTCGGCCTGTATGACTCTTCTGTTATCTCTGGTAGACTAGTGGGCGTGGTGATTGTTTACCAGTGAGTAGACTCCCAATGTTGCTGATAACTGGAACGTGGGAGAATGTAATTTTTTCTATAGAACGTGAATCAGCTGTTGCTATACATTGCGCATAATAAATCTTTTAATTCAAACAACGCGGGGACTGTATGCGCAATGGTAGCGGTTTTATTTGTAGTGGTCATAGTTCGTGTGTCAACACAGAGCGCCTATACACAAGCATCAAGCGGTATTCACGCGCATGACCTTGAGCGACGCGCATGCGCGCGTTGTGGCTCGCCGGCCCGTCCATGAAGCCGCACAACGCGCGGGTCTAGATGCCAGTGCTACAGTCCGCGACAGCGCTTCGCGGCGGTAACGTCTCAAACCGCGAAACGCGGAAAAAACGCGGCCGCGTGATAACATAAAAAACCTCACCTCAATCAAATTATACTATTCCTGTCATTATACTAATACGGACATTAGTTTAAGTGTGTCCAGGCTCCGCTGCCACCGAATTAACACATCAATAAGGTTAGTATTGCTATAATCTCACAAGCTGTCACGTTTTGACAATTCAATACGCTGTCAATAGGTTCAATTAAATCCATACAGGGTTTGTTTGTCTCTCTGTTTGTTGATGTATAGTTGCGATTCTGCTGTGGATCGTTAGTTTTTATTGCACTGTAGTATTTAATGGTGTTTTTTACACCTGTCTCTATTCAAACATCTGTTGAAATTACATTGAAACTGAATAACTTCTTTGTCTAAACAATACTCTATTTAGTCTGTTGTGGATTTAGATGAGTAATGTGGAGGAACGTAAACAAAAACTATGTTAACAGTCGTAAATGAAGCAGGTACTATCTACCAAATACTTATATTGGTTGGATCAAAAGACTGGATCAATAGACCTATGAAACTTTTTAAAATTTATTGACACAACATTTAGTTCTATTTTCAAATTTATTTGACAACTACAGTTTGACAGAGGACAAAATATTTAATTATTTGTGTAAAACATTACATTGCACGTTAAACACATTGATTGTTGCAATATCTATGTAAAAAAACAACACCTACGCCATATTTTAAGTAAACTAGTATTATTTTACTATCTTTATCCTTTTACAGTTGATAACAAAAGGGTTTGTCTACCGGGAAGCTAATTCGATTCGATTAACGGTAACGATTTATGAGACAGTTTTTACCAATTGCAAACTACTCGAATACGCCCAAATTATCCTTAAAAATCAACCATTTTTTTCGCCTCATAGGAATTATATAATTGTCTTATGCATGACAACTTATTGACCAAGATATGAAACTTGTATCTAACA